CTATATTTTACGAACGAGCGCAGCGAGTGAGTAAAATATTGTTTTCAACACGAGAAAATAAAAGTCATATTTCCAAAGCCACCGTGAAATGTTCTTTTTATTATATGGCCAAAATAAATTTCATCAACTAGATGTTTTGTAGCTCACCGTACGGCAACAATGTTATGTCTCTCCGCTCGTTTATAGAGGCTAAATAGTCGCTGAAGATCGCCAAATCGGACTTAGTCTTCCTTTTTGTGTTTTCATTTTCATTTTCTTCAGAAAACCTTGCCAAATCAGCGTCGGAAACATTAACAAAATGTCGAGAATTTGCCATATTGAATATTCAAAACAGAAACGGCAAAATGGCGGGAATTAGCGTGGGCCCCGCGCGAGACGTTCCCGCGTAAGATATGATTTCATATTTCACTATAGTGAAATACGGGAAATATCAGTGGCGTATTTTACGGTATTTTACTCATATCCATATAATAAATATATATATATATATATATATATAATTACTTAAAATACATCGTGGCATGTTCTATTTTAAATCTATTTGTTTTACTGAGAACGTCAAAAATATTCTCTTTCCTCAGACTTGGTAATAATTCGTTTCGTTCATTTTCGATGTCATTAAGTAGATTACTAGTAAAGAATTGTCTTCTGTCAAACATCCTCTCAACGTCCGCTTCTACTAGAGCTTCAGCGTACGATAATGTTGGATAGATGATACGGAGGGCTCGATTCTGTATAACTTCTCTAGATCTTCGCTTAAGTAATATGGTATGCTATAGTATGGTATGGTTGTACGACGTGGCATGGTGTCATTACGAAGTACAGTATACAGTAGTGTTCTAGGGTATTTCATGGCATTGGATTATTGGATATACAAACATCACATTTTGAACTGACCTGTTATAAATCAATTCAAAAAAGGTTGGGTCCTGAAAATTGGCATCTATTTCAGGAAAGTTTAACTCGATATGTAGTTTAGAGAACGCTGATGTCTTTTCCTGGAAATCTTTCATCTCTTGAGGGTCACCTGGTACCACCAACTGAAAATGGGCGAATTATAATTATTTTCGTTATTATTACTTATCAAATGTCGTACACAGGGTAAGGTAAGGAATTCATGACAGTATGACACCCGTGTACAACACAAAAAGCCTGATAGGGTTTGGTATGAAAAACAGCGAAGGAAATTGAGAAAAATCCTCAAAGTACAGGAGCGAACCTGTTATTGGTCCAGTGGTACTGCAAAGGAGAACCTTTTTCAAACCAATAATTGCTTAACCAATACTGCTTAACCAATCATTTTGTGATGCACATAATAAATACGAAAAATCGTTGACTACGATAAGCAAATTAAAGTAATTTGAATACAGTTACCTCTTCCTTATCGTACATGACAGGTTTTGAGGAAAACGGCGATGGTTCTTGTTTAAACATTGGACATGTATCAGATAAGCTGTCTGGAGAACTTTCACCTGAAGCTACTTCTTCTAACATTGGACCAGACACTGGCTGCACAGAAATCACAATCCTAAAATGAAGTACAAATGAATTGTAAGACATGCCATAACTCCTATAGACCTTTTTCATAATGACGTCAAACGCGGATGAACAATTTATGCGTTCCACATTTTTGCAGAAATTTTCATATTTTGATGTATGATAACTCATTATTAAATACCTAATTAATATAGGCAATCATGCGATGGCGAGTACAATTTGGGATTAATAGTATGTACGAGTGATGTTTGGAAATTTTTCCAAAATTGGACGAGAACATCACGAGTCCTGTTAATCACTAATTGTACGAGCAACATTGCATGATTACTTGTTTATTACTAGCATGACAAAATTGGATACTTCTCAATGTCAACATCATATTCTCTCACCAAAGCCTAGTCCTGCCATACTTTCAACCAAAATTTGGTGCTTTTGTTCGTATTTTCATTTTAGTTCTTTTGTTAAAGCAACATTTGGTGCTTTTGTTCGTATTTTCATCTAGTTCCTCTAGGGCAATTTCATTTCACATTTGTATTTTGTTAAAATACATTTCCGCCATTTTGTTTGTTTTGGGAAAATCATTAATTGTACTGCAGTACAATTAATGAAATAATTGTACTCCTCTCAACCAATCAGTATCCAGTAATTTTTTCATGCTAATAATAAATCTACTAACTCAATACCTAAACTACACTGGAACATGCAGTTCGTAACGAAAATATTGATATAGCCTACAGTAGTAACTACTATGACTACTTCAGGACTTATCTTGTATGTTATGCCTTATCAGTCTTAAAGACTTGCTTCACATGACAACAAATCTTAATGAATATAATTCATGCATGCATGTAAGGTAAGAAAGACAGTCAGTCAGTCATAAACAACAATTTTGTTATTTGTCGGCATATAATGTAATCTTTTGCAGAAACTCTTGAGCCCTAAACCAAGGTTTCTAGAAAGAAAAAAAAATTCCGCCTCTGAAAACGCTCTACTAGGTTTTTCAGACTACAACGTAGAAGTCACATATTATTAAAATGTATTCATTAACAACGAACCTTGGTAAATCAAAGCCATTTGCCTCATCATCGTTATCACTATGTCGTTGACTCACGTGGATAAAATGAACTTCTTCACTTTTTGCACTGAATTTCCAGTAACCTATACGAGAAATGTCATTACTATTACAGTACTTATTCAATTTGAATTGTAACTTCGTGTTGTATTAGAATTCGCACAGACCGTGAAATGTCGTTTACGAGTCAAATTACTTTAAATACAAAATATCCGCCATTTTGAAACGTGATTGGTGCCGGATGTTTCGTAATTTTTGTGAAAAAATTCAAATCCTTTAGATGTTGTTTTACATCAGTAAGATACTTTTTGCTTTTCAACAGGTAATAATTGTCCAAAAATACGCATCGAAATCGTGAATTTCCATTTAAAAAAAAAACCTGTATCCAGCGGCCATAAAGAGGACTTGAATTTGTAATTTTTAATCCTTTAAGGGTTTCCGAAGTCTTTTTCATCTTATCAGGTAGTCCCGAACCAAACCATGGCGGCATAAATTTAGAACACTAATTCTCGTAACGTTTCAAAGTGAGTATATACGCAAACGAAATGATGGCTGAAACGCCGCTTGTGATCTTATTTAAAGGGAAATAGCAATAAAAATTAAGTTTCTCCCATTTGGAAGAATGATTCAATATCGTTCAAAACCTTTTTACAGATTCTCTGTATCGTTCTACATAAAAGATATTACACTTCATTTTAAACAAAATCGTTATGCAATGCGCCATCTTGGATATGCATATCCATCCTCGGATATACGTGACGTCACAACCAGGGTGACACTATTTTGTATCGTGAGCAATTCTCAGTCCATTTGAATGATAAATCCTATTTTTACTATTGCCTAAAATTAAATCACAAGCTATGTATAATCTCTCCACTGATGATATTTTTTTTTATTTTTAAAGTTTCTGCCCTGGTTGTGACATAACTTAATTAGATCTAATTACAAAACAAGATGGAGGATGGGAGAATATTTTGGTTTCACATATCTCAAAAACTAAGATAGATTGGGAGAATTGGTAAAAGGGATTTTTAAATAATCTTAACATTCTTTCAAATTAGGCAAACATAATTTTTGTTGCCATTCTCCTTTAAGTTCCTATTTATATTCCACGAAATGGCGAAATTATTTAACGTACCATCTAAAGTTTTAAATCTCAATTCATACGTTGTCGCTGTCTCACTGTCTTGCAGACATGTTTCAAACGTGACATCTGAACATCGCATCAAACATATCTCTTCACGGAGATTCTTCTCCCAAAGTGGGCGATTGGGACGAACGTCTGGTGAACGCAAATCCAGGATAGGAAATCTAAGAAATTACAGAATACATTCTTTTAATTAGTACATTCATCAATCCAATGTAATTTGCATTCGAGAATATGTACACTCTAAAAAGACTCGTTAATTACAATTTTACTGGTTAACCCTATTTGGTTATTTTAAGCTTTTTCTCCCCATACTCATAGTTAACTTGACCAGGATTTAAATAACCAGATGTTAGATTGACTAATATTAAATATACATGAAAAAACTTCGCAATTCTGATTGGCTAAGAACAGTGCAAATTTTTTCAAAATACAGTGTCAAAAAATGAAATACAGTGCAAATTTCATTGACTTCAAAACTCACTCGTGCATTTTTTTTTCCAAATTGCACGAGAAACCATACTATTACCTATACAAATAACTAGGATCCCCGGTTTATTTATCCAGCTTTTATATAGTCTTTGATAATACTCCCCAATATTTAAAGGACAAAAAGCCCTCTGAACACCCCTGAGAATAGTTTGACTTTACCTCAACGATGCTGCAAGACTAGAACATTCAACATGAATTTGTACTTTCTGTTCACAAGAAGAGCCGTCGTTCATTGTTCTTGAGAATAACGCCTGTTCATTCTAGAAATGAATTTATACCATTAACTTAATATTGAGCTTTCAAATTTTTACTTCAAATCTGCTGTTTTGGTCGAACATAATAGGACACTATTTATTTATAGAGAAAAGCTGTACAGTACATCGCACTGTAATTATTTCACTTACATAGTACGAAACTTGAATATTAGTTTGAATATATAACTGATGACAGAAGTAATAATTTTCTGTGCAAGTTTAACAGATTTGTAAGAGATTATGTTTCGCTTTTGCAAAGATGAGCGAGAAATCATTCAAATGAACGAGGCAAAATGATCGGGCCATATTGATTCTGAAAATCTAAAACATAATCTGAAAGTCAGGTGTCCCAGATTGGCTAAAATGCATTTGCCATACAACATTTGTTACATCATTCTGTAGTCTAATACATTTATACACTATCGAACTATTAAGATGGATGCACTTATAATTGCATTTCAGAGGTCATGAATTTTCCTCCAACAATTTTCTCTGACAATTTTCCATTTTATTCTTTCTTGGGGAAATATTTTCTGGGACCAATGATCGCATGCTCCGATACTTTTTCCACCCCTGGGAGAGTGGCCGATGCCCGACTATTCTATTAGACTTTGACACTATTATAATGGTTATTTACACTTTGTTTTGACTAAATGCATCTGATTTTTTGTCACGTGATCGCTTTTATATACACCGGTATAAAAGCTCATTTAATTTACCCGACCGCCGCTACTCATTTCCCGACGAAGGGCCTTTGCTCTACATGTCCATGTTCTACTTGTATTTTTCGAGTAGTTGAATCCCTATTAATCTACATGTACAGCTTTCATATTTTCAATATAACGATATGCTGCACTTACTGCATCAGTATGAAGGGGTGCGGACGTGAAATACTGTGACGATGGTCTAGGTTGGTCAGCGGAGTTCGATGAAGGATACAGTACGCCATGTAATCTATCTATTATGGTCAAATCAATCTCAACTTCAACATCACCAAGTTGAACATCAATTTCTGTCTTAGGGACAACGCTGTGACGGCCTTGGATAGAGGCCTGCAACGAAATATGTATGTATCATGGTCAACCACTTTGGGGGAAATATTAACGCATGGGGGCGGGGAGGGGGGATAACCACTCTTGAACTCGCTTACAACGCAAAATATAAATTACAGTAGTGGTGTAACTTACAGCTCTTTGCAATTTTTGCTGGGATTTTAGGTGCGATTTTCTTCTTCTGATGGATGTGAACGAGTGGATAAGTTATGAATGTTCAGATGAAGGTACATGTACTCCGAACATTCGTAACTCCTCTGCCCGTTCACATGCATCAGAAGGAGAAAATTGCACTAGTGTGTAAAAAGGTAGTAGAAGTTCCTTCTTGGTTGCCCGATCGGGCAAGTTGTTTTGCCAGAAATGAATTGCCATACGATATTGTTTGCTTGTTTACATTATGCATTCTGTCCTGATTCTTTATTAGTAGATCAGCTGAATTAGAAATCAACATTTCATGTTTACTGTAGGTCTTCACTGGAATTTTTCAAGGGAAACATAAGTTTATAGAACAGTGATTACTCAATCCTTTACACTGCAATAATTTGCTTCAAATTTTATTAATATCTGAGAACAAAACTAGACCTGATGGCAAGTTAATTTTATTCCCGGCAACCAATTTCATTGCCAACTTGCCCCGATGGCAAGTGGCAAAATTAGTCAAGTTACACCACTGATTACAGAATACGTGTTCACAGAGTAAGGGGAGGGGAGGGTTAAATGGCGTCCATGCTATATTCAAGTGAGCAAACTACTATTAGCTATAGTTTGGCTGATTTACTTACCGGAGAACAGCTTCGTTGTATACTCTTGTATTTCGCTTTCAAACATGGCATAGGTACCCTGTGAAAATTACCCATGCGAGACTGTTTTTCTTCCTTTCCAGAAAGACTAAGTACCTAAAATAAAAAGATGTAATGTGTAAAAAAATGTAAATGTAATTTAATGTAATGTTGACAATATTAGTTGAGGCGAAACTTTTCACCTGTCGTTGTCCTACACTATTGATCGTATATAGTGTCCCAATAACGGCCATTTTTTATTGATTCAAAAGGAGTATGCAATTTCCTTATCAAATCCATCACATCGGCTTATAGAGACCTTTATCTTGTTGCTGGTGACCTAAGTAAATGTGTCAGCAGTAACAAGATGAAGGGCTCTGAAAGCGATATCTGAATTCCGAAAACGAGGCTGTATAGCCAAGGCTAAGTATTTTTCGGGTGACACACCATAGGGTGTAGCAGAACACACTGTAGTATTACAATGCGTGGTCATTGATAATCAATTATTACATATTAGTGACTTTTCATAAGCGGACAACTCCCGTATATAAGCGGACACCAATATGGGACGTTCGACTGGACATGACGGAGGTGAGGGATACAGGAACACCCCCTTGGTTTCATGCCCCCCCCCCTACAATACCTTCCATATACCTGTGTTAAATTATGTTTGACTGTTTCTTTACTCGTGTCGTCAACCAAACATTCCATCAACTTTGCCATGCCAACTGAAACTTCAGTCGTGATACATTGACATGCAGATGTATTAGACAGTTCACCAGATATGCTCACTGTTGTAAAGAAACACCTAAAAATAAAACAAGTCTTAATACGTGTACACTGTATAATTATAAGTATTAATAGTGCCTTATGTCATGGTCAGCGATTTTACATTACACTATTTCCTCTATTTAGCTTCATTGGGCCGGTTGTATAAACCACACTTTTGTAGTTAAATATTAGTTATTTAAATCTTAATACGAGAGTTTGATTAACTTTCGCACTAACTATAGTTAACTTTAACTAGTTGAAGGGTCTTGTAGATGAAAATTATCGAGTGTTAATGGACCATTTGCATTATAGACTAAATTTTGATCTAGACAAAAATTTCATCACAGCTTGAAAGAGCATCACAAAATTAGTGATATTCCAACGTTTCGTTGCGAAATGTTGTAAAATGCGGATAATATAGCCATGCGAAGTTTGCCGTTTTTCAGTCATTTTGTATTACGTACGGGAAATTGACAGCCCAATTGGGTGTTCGGGCATCAATTTCCCGTTTGTAATGCAAAATGACTGAAAATTGCAAATTTCGCAAGGCTATATTATCCGCATTCTACAACATTTCGCAACGAAACTTTGGAATATTACTAATTTGGTGATGCTCTTTCAAGCTGTGATGAAATTTTTGTCCAGATCAAAATTTAGTCTATAATGCAAATGGTCCATTTATATAGATTTATTAGACCTAATCAGGAACAGCTGCGAAAAATACAACTTCAGGTCCCTGGCACTCTGGCAGGAATCGAACTTCATGCGGCACTGCGATTCCGGTGCAGCGCTCTAACCAACTGAGCTACAGATGCCAGTTGTCGAGCTCTAACCACAAGTTCATGCATATACATAGTAGGGTTAACTGCCATGTTTTAGGATATGGGTAAATATCGAGATTTTGTTGATTGCTGAATCGAGTGAGATGCCAACAAAATCTCGATATTAACTTTGACTAGCCTTTTTTTTATACCACCTTCGAAGAATATTAGTGTGCTAAGGTGCTAAACCTGGGTTAAAATTTAATCTGCTGTTTTGGTTTGTGTATTCCTGCACGTCCGTTTATTGCAAAGCTTTAGAAAATCCATCTGAATCCAAAAAAAGATTTTGGAAAAAAATCCATCCTATCGATCCAAAAAAGATTTTGGAAAAAAAAATTTCCAAATTTATAAATAAGCTGTTGGAAAATGTGCTTTTAATCTAGGATTAAACTAACCGGCTTTCAAACAACCAGCTCCAGGGGACTTATTTGTTTACAGTAGTTCCAGCCTGGGAGCTTATTCGAGGGGGTTAAAGAGAGTGGACTTATTTAACTATCCATGCTGATACTCAAGATAGAAAGGTGGACGAGTGCCGAGATTAACAAAAGATAACTGCATATGTACTACTCTGACGTTTAAATTAATGCTTAAACACAATTCTTTATAAAATGTTCAATATAGTGTTCGTACTTGACTATAACTCTATATTAAGACTGATTTAACAAATAGGGGATGGGCGGCTAAATAGAGTGTAACCTCGTTCCCAGGCTCTTACCTCTTGTGGAGGAAAGACCCAGAAAAGAGCTGGTCAGATTTCTAATTGATAAAGATGGTGTTGATAAATATTTGATAGTCATACTTTAATTTATAACTTGCATTTTGTTTTGCAAGTTTGATCTGATTTTAAAGGAATCCAAGATAGTTAATTAGAAATCTGCTAGATTTTAGCAGATCACGTGACCAGCTCCTACCAGGATCTTTCCTCCACAAATACGTAAAAGCCCTGGAACGAGGTTAAATAGAAGGTGGGGCTTATTTCATTTTCAGCACTTCTGGACTGGGAGATTATTAAGGCCCGTTTACACTTGCAATTTTTGCTGCGATTTCTAGTGAGATTTTCGTCTTCTGATGTATGTGAACGAGTACATGAGTTATGAATGTTCTGAGTGTATGTCCCCTCATCTAAACATTCCTAACTCATTCACTCGTTCACATTCATCAGGAAAAGAAAATAGCACTTAAAACCACAGCAAAAATTGCAAGTGTAAACGGGCCTTTAGAAGAGGTGGGCTAAATAGAGGAAATACGGTTCTGTACTTTATAATCCTTGTTGGACGAATTTGACATGTACAACTTTAATATAAGCTTCTAAACGTTTGTACCTCAAACCTAGATGTATTGCATTAAATACCGAATTTTGCGCTTACCTAAGATGACTTTGAAGACAAGCATCATTGAATTTCGCTTGTATCATCTCCAAGTCTTTACTACCAAACGCAGTGGACGACATTCGATCAAAGAACTTGTCTGCAATTTTACAAAGAACATGGTCTTGGGATGCATTGCTTTCGGTGTGCGATGGAGGATCATGTAGCAGTAAGGTGATAGATAATCCACTCAATTCCAGTTGTACTTTTGTCAGATTGTCATCATCAAGACCTGACACAGCAGCTAGACCAGGATTAGGCATGGATAATTTTGACACCAAGGGACCTAGCGTGATATAAACAATGATGACACTTTACTAAAGAACTAATGTGAATGTGTATGCTTATATAAGCTATAGAGTTGTAAATAGGAACCAGTGGGTTAACCTTTTCAAAGGGTTATATTTCATTCAACATTGCTTCCTTTGGCTTGTTTTCCGCTTCAACCCTATGGTACCGGAACCTACTATTGAGCATGCGTAGATTGAAAATAGGTTGATAAATTCATACACGTACTGTACTTCCGGGTGTATTCGCGTAACAAAATGAAACGTTCGTCGCAAGTCAACTTTTTGGCGTACTACGGAAGTATTAGCACATCAACATTCACTAAACCATTAAATTTTATACGTTTCGGTACGGGAAACCGCCTTTATCCAAGAGAGATCAGAATTAAAAATACAATGGAACACTGAGAATCAGTAGTGACTTCGCAGGTTTTTGAAGTCAGAGGTGTGTTACCTAAAAATGAAATTGTCGTCCGGTAAAATAGACGTAGCTCCTCGAATTAATTATTCATCAATTTGAGCGAGAAAAAATAGTCTGTGTTTGTACATACAGTAAAATGACGTGTGCATTATCGAGGTACAGTATATTTCTGGAAAAGGATGGTGAAAGCATGTACAAGTAACTACTGTCATGGCAAATCACAGTCACTACACTGATGATCACGGGATGTTCACATATATCTACTCTTTTACAGGTATCATGTCAACAGGCAAATCGTTTAGGGATTGTCAGAAGTCCTCCCATGAGAAAATTTCCCTAACTTCTAACCCTCAAAAGCCCAGAAATGTATATACGACCAAACGCCTCCAGTGGAAATAAGCTTCGGTTGACTGGGATGGTGTGCGTTTAAAGTTGTCCTTCAGCAACATATTAGATACGTATGTTCGGGGTTCGTTCGAGTGAGGCCAAAACCGAAGAGATGATATCTCTGATGATGTCGTTGACGACGAAAGCTTAGATACTCATAGACAATAAAGACCTTTATTAAAGTGTTTTTCACAATCTATTTTAAACAGCCGCAGTTTTGGCCTCACTCGAACGAACCCCGAACATACTTGGATGGTGTGGTTAAATAAACGTTCATCTACTGCAGGGATGGATTTACAGGGGGTGCAGGGGTGGGGTGCACCCCCTAGCCCTGGCCAGAGGGAGTGCAGGGGTGGTCTATTTTTCGTGATAAAGCAAAAAAAAATATTAGAGGCAAAATGAGATACAGTAATTTGAGTATTAACATGATGATAAGCGAACTGTGAACAACAATTACAATTCATGATACAGTAGTAGTCAAGCAAACTTTGCAGTAGTGAAGCAAGTTGATGGGCGTGCGGCACAGATGACCGACACAACTCGATACCAGAGCTGGCAGAGCACCCCTACCAGATCATGCTGGAACCATCCCTGATCTACTGTATATATAGCAATAATTATATTTACATACCATTTCGAACATCATCAGATAAACCATTACCCAGAGGAACAATACCAGCTTCGGACACTTTCTGTACCAAACCTTGTCCATACGCTGGATAGACATTCGTTTTAACTGCCGACTCTGCACTGAATATCTCCTCATCATTTTCAGAGAGAGAATAAAATGTTTCCTCGCTTGTAAATGTTTTCTGTGATTCGAGAGACACTGGACCAGCAGTGTTGTTGTCAAACTGTGTGCACCACAGATCTACTTTACTTTGTTGCTTACGTCCATTGTACATTTGTTCATGGAGTTCTCTTTCGATTCTTTGGAAATCATCATCTTTCATTGGTTTGTTTATCAAGCCTTCGTTCGTAGTCAAGTAGGTATCTTAAACGAGACAAAGGAAGGGTCGGATAAAAACTGTGAACAGAATGACTTGTTGCTGGTCCATGCACAGTTTGCCTTTCACTAGAGTTGCGTTGCAAATTCAGGGCAGCTTCCCGAATGCCGGCTGCTAATCGAGCTACGTTGCAACTAGACTTGCTCCAAGTCTCTCTTTTATTGTCTTATCGATCGACTATAGTGTACATTACATGACGTACTGTAGCACGGACATGCGGAGCGAAAAAGAGAGACTCGTCAACTTTGGAAAATCTCGGGTCAAAACTGAACCGAAAATGCAAGACTTGCTTTAATTGTTTTCCTTCAATTTCTTTCTGTATTATTTACTATAATGGAACTCGTGTTATTTACACTGTGCTAGATCAATATTCATATAAACACTCTCTTTCTCGCTCCGGCCCTGTAAAATGTAAAACGTAACCAAACTGCGAATATGCAGATTCAGCCATCTCTAATAATGGTAATGTTGGGATAGTAACGTTGCAGACTGCTAAGGAAAGTGGGCACTGCACCCCTCCTTGTAGATGAGGCTAGATCCACCTCGAAGTATCTTCCTTGCATTTTGGCCCGTATCAGTTTCCCTGAGTCGCCGACACAATTACCTGCATTATGAAGTTTATTAATGTCCTCAACCAACTCCATCAAAACGTGAAGTTGTTTTGGAGACAATAAGATGTTCAGTGTGCCAAGAAAATACTTAAATTCAACCTAAATTTTCAAATAAAGAATAAAAACGTTAAGATCTGCACTGTTACACACACCAGACTCAACTTAAAAGTTGAGAAAATCTATTGAGAGGGTAGGCCAACTAGTACAAGTCCCAGCTTGCATTTATATTGGAGATATTCTTCCGAATTATGCGAGATCCTGTATCTGGCAAGGTAGAGGGGTCTAGGCCAGGATCTCAGCGCCCAAAAAATGGGGAAAACAAGGCTGAAATGAACGCGGCTTCATAATTTACATAAAGCCATGTAGGTTTATAAAATAGAATGTTGCAGTCAGTGTGGATTGTAACGATTAGCCGCACAAGAAACACTGAATGGCCGATTAATTTTATTCTGCGCGGAAATTTTGACCGATCGAATTAATTAAGAAAATATTATTTGATTAGTACTGTTCAAAAAGCACAAAAGCAAGAGAAAAAACACAAAACATTTTCATGGCTTCGCTGTGGCAAGCAACAAAATCACGCTAATACAAGATTATGGTTCCAGACCATTGTTGGTACCATACATGCAGAAAGTTTGAAAACAGTATCCGCGGGACCACGAATGTTTCGGTTGCATGGATTGTTGGGACTGCATACCAAAAGTTAAGTAATGTGATGGATCATGCGGGAAGTGATCAGCAGGATATATCAATGTAAATATTGAAAAGCTGGCCGACCATTTTCAGCCAATGTCAAAGCAACTGTTGGTCGGACATTTGTCAGAGGCTCAGAGCCAAGCGAAATTGTTATATTCCACAATGTTGTTGCTGCCTTAGAGAGAGACTTTATTTATAGAGGATGACACTTGACAGTACGAATACTGATGACTCCGTGGTCCTCTGGAAACCTATGTGCCTAACCCACCCATGTCAACTTTCCCTATGGGAGGAAACACGGAGTACCCGGAGAAAACCCACGACTTTCGGCAGAGCGTTGACTTTTACTCTTTTCACATGAGGCCTGGGTTCGAGTCACATTGAGAAGTTCTCACTGAGATTCGAACCTGCGGCCTTAGAAGTGAAAGGCAAGTGCGCTAACCACTTCGCCACCGAAGCTCCGAACTGTATAGCAGACAGAATTTCCTCCTATTTGTGTCGTAAGAAACGACATAAACAAGCTTTTCGATAGCGTAATCGGTAAACGCGTTGCGTGCGTGCGAAGTTAAATGAGGTCCGGATCGATTTGTTTTCGAAAGTAGGTCCGATTTTTTTTGTCTGACTCAATTTTTTTAAACTTTTTTTCCCGACTTTCTTTTAATTCTCAAATTGTTTATTAGACTTTTACTGGTTAGGGTTAGAGGGTTAGAGAAGGGTTTGGGGTTGGGATCATGAGTTCATAAAAATTCAACTTTAGAGGTAAACTACGTGAAGCGTTCCTCTTTTCACTTCCTACAGTAACTCATTTGGAATTTTCCTCATTAGCTTTGCAAATTTGAAAAACTCCTTGCAAATCCCTTGAGGGAATTTGCAATGTTCCTATCGGCTGTTGCAATATTCCAATGCAAACAAAACTTCATTTTAAATTTCCCTAACTTCCTGTTTTAATTTCCTGACTTCCTGTTCTGTTCCGAGCGTTGTCATTGGTGGATTATTTTTGTTGGCCAATTGCAACGCATAGAACAGAACAGGAAGTTTAGGAACTTGTAACAGGAAGTTAAGAACTTCAAACAGGAACTGAGGAAAATTTAATCGGCTTTTAGCAACATTGCAAATTCCCAACATTGCAAGGGAGTTTTTTAATTGCAAAGGTAATGAGAAAAATTGCAATCAATTTGGAAACTCAAGAGGAACTCTTCACGTAGTTTACTGTACCTGTAACTATATAAATAAAGTGGAAGGTGCCATTCGCATTCCGGTATTTAGGCGCAAATATATAATACAAAATACTGTACGCCATATATCTTGTTGGATTCGTTTCAATTTACCCATTTACAGAACTTGGCCGTTTGTACTGTACCTTAGGAGCTGAATAAGATGGATTGATTTTCCATTTCACGTTGGCTTCTTGTTCCCCAGCACTTGACAACACGACCACCGCTGGCAACAATGATGGTGGGCTCAGATGATTTAACATCAAACTCTGATTAAATATTGCACTCTGATACGGCGACACGGGTGGTGATGACGTCACACTCTCAGGCGAAGATGTCGGCTCAAATTTAAACGGAGTATTCCTGAGTAAAGTCCGAGAGGTTTCATTAAATTCATCCAAACTTAACTTCAATCCAAAAATTCGCAGTTGTTTATTAGCAAGAGATGGCGGGTCATACACGTCGAAATTTGATTGGTCACCTTCCGAAACATCGCTTGACAAGTCTGAATAATTTATCCTACAAAATGAAAAAGATTTCCAGTCAGAAGTTTAACCCATTGAGTGGCAGCAATCTCGCCTTGACAAGTAAAATCGTCTGGCGCTAGACAGAGTAAAATAATACAGTACTTACAGGCAAGTCCGGATTTTGGTGGAAATAGTGGGAGAGGTGGAAAAAATTTAGGGGAATTGCAGCGGTTTAGCTCACGACCCCCATGGAAAGTTAGGGCTTACAGTAGAAAGGGTCAAAGTCAACGACGTGACGTATGCATGTAGTGTGCATATATGTATCAGTGTATTAATGAATTGTGACTGTACAACTCATCCAATTTTACGCTTCATTATAATTACTACGTTTCTTTCGAAACATTGCGTTAATAGGGTACTTGACAGGCCTTAAAATATCTTTTACAGGGCCGTCTGACAAAATGTTCGATGACGTTGAGTTTGGGTCGGACATATGTCCGACGACCTTCAGTTCAGTTTTGACTCGGAAATAAGTCACAAATGAATATTAGCACAATGTATTAATTCTGAACGGTAAATGTTGTGAAGATATTAAATAATTTGTTTCTTTCATACTTATTTCCAAGCCAAAATTAACTTGCTTTCCAGAACAGCAGTGTTAAAAAAAACTTCGACAACTTAAGCAGTTCACCTTTTATACAATAGTACTCTGATTTTCCATTTAACATGCAAGCCTCTATAGTCCTGGGATAGGGTACATTTTGATTTACGTTGGACAAAGCTACAGTTCGGTCGGACACCAATACACTTGGGTCGGACAAACAATAAACCTCAGTTTCACTTAGGTGTCGGACGATTTCACGAATGGGTCGGACAATGTCCGTGACCGACCGAGATGAATGGCTATTTCAATTTTACAGAAAAACTTTCTGACGAAGTATATAGACCCTAAGCAACCAAAAATTTCAAATTTTCACTTTGATCTATCATTGAAACTTTCCAAATGGGAGGTGCATGATTTTTCAGGGGAGGTGCAAAAATTCTCAGGGGAGGTGCAAAACGATCTCAGAGGAGGTGCGCACCTCCCCACTCAAAATGAGGCCATGTTTAAAGGGTTAATATTCAACTTTCAAGACAAGACACTTAAAAGCCGTTACACTTCATCATTAAGAGAATCTCAAACACTCGGCTACCTGTGATGCCGTTAAGTATGTAGTTTCTGCTATACGTACAGGTGTATACTGCGGAAAAAATTCGACGACTTTACCTACCTCTTTATGTGAAGTTCCAGTCCAACACCAGATTTCTTGTGAGGAAACAAGTGTTCGAAACGGATCAGTACATCTTCAAAACTCACCTTTATTCTTGACAAAACTGGAAAAAATAAACGCATTCTTATTCTGCAAGGTGCATCATTGTACATAGTACATTAATAATTACGTTCTTTAATAAAATCACATACGATATGCATTTACAGTACTTCGTTGCATCATGTTTACGTTTATGTTAACATATCATACATGATACATATAACAGTATCTAATAATCACATATCTGCATCAGATATGTGACTGTGTTGAGCCAGTTTTCCAGTACCTGGTGCAAACTAAGTGACTATTATTAAATTATCTAGGTATCAAAATTGGTTGTTCAAAAAATACAGTAGGTGCAGCAACTGTGATCTATATTTTTGGGCGTGCAAAAAACATGGTCCTTGCTTGGACAGTACCTGGCTAATAAATACAGTACCCAATACCAGTTTCGAAGACCAAATTGCATTCACTGGGTAATGATGTTTCTGAGAAACTGGACCAGTAAAACGGTCTGATGTTAGACAGAATATACTAATTAAAAATAACTAAGTAACTTAATGACACAGTACTGTACAGTACCTGACTCAATAGTCTGAGCAAATGATTCCAAACCATCAAATGTCTGCTGTGACGTTGTTTCTTTTTCATTTGGTTCATTGTCTTTCAAACATTCCTGAGCAAGCTGTAAGCTTGTTGTCATAGAACTAAATGGCAATGACTCTGAAGTAACACTACCACCTGAAAATGTACATAATAATTAGGGACCGGTCATTATTTATGGTGGGGGGTGGCACCGAAGAGAAAAAGGTTGGGTAAACAAAATTTTGAGTAAGTAGAAGGTTTGGTAAATGAAAAACAAAACAACTCAAGGGTTGGGTAATAAAAATTTATTGTCATTTCAAAAACATGACTCACTCTCAAAATATTGTTGACTGAAAAGCAATGTCAACAGTCATTTGTCAATACAATATATGAATCAATCAGAGTCACTATCTTGATCATTTTGACAAAACAAATGGTGTTTCCAAAGAAAGTACATGTGCAGACAACATGAAACTTTAGACTGCAGAACAGTTCACAAGCCGTTATCAAACTCATGTCACAGAAGTGGTAAAGGACATGTGTGACAACTGAATGGTATCTTTTTGTAACGTTTTTGGCCAGGGTGGGTAATTATTTTTTAATTAATTGATATTTGAGGTTGGGTAATCAAATTTTTGTCTTTTTAATGGTTTGGTCAGCAAAATTTTTGCCACAAAAAACATTTCTCTTCGGTGCCACCCCCCACTATAAATAATGACCGGTCCCTTACTTCTACAGTAGTGATTGACCGATAGTGCAACAATCGGGAATTACTGATCATAATGACGTCATAATATCAGTCGACTGAGTAAAGGTAACATCATTCATGTCGATTTTTTAACGATAATTTCCAACGTACAGTAACATGTTGCTGCAACCAATGATCGTGAAAACCGTTAATAAATGGCACACTTCACACATTAGTTTAACATACTGTGTTAAAACGCAAGGTGTATGAACGTGCAATGCAAATAATTTTTAAAGTGGGTATTTCCTAACAATCGGTTTCAGACAATCGGAAAAATAGTTAATGTACCGATTCCAATTGTCTACCGATAAGGGAAAAATCAGCCCGATGCCGATACCGACTATCGGTCAATCACTATTCAACAGTATAGTATATAGGTTTGTATGGCATGCCTGCAGATTTTATTTACATGAATAAGATGTGGTCACCAAATTTGCATGTAATATCAGGTCACCCTATTCTCTTTGTACATATAGAAACATAACAAACAGTTGTTTAATTAATATGTTGGCAATTTTATGCAAACAGAATGAAATGCTTGCTCATTAAGATATTTTAGGGTTTTTTCTCAGTCGCCACAATTGGGCTGCTACCATTAACAAATATCTGGTCGCTAGATGAAAAAAATTGGTCCCAATAGACAATTCCCATTATAGACGCTCGGCTTGTGCCTTCGGCCTTCGGCCCTCGTTTATCAAGCGTAACATTACAGGGGCGCTTATTGATCGACAGCTCACTCCCCCCCCCGAAAAATAGTACCCAGCACGCCACTGTCCACATGATTTTTGGAGTTGTAACTTCAGAATTCTAAATTCAACTAATTTTTTGAAGTTATTGTATTAATTGAATTTGGAGTTTGCCCCTTAGACTAATAGACCTCATGCATAATGACGTCACAAGGCTTGATGCCCACAAGGAATGCTGGTTTTAGTAGTCATCGCTAGGGTTGGGCGATATTTCGATATTTTGATTTATCGCGATATTTTCAATCTCAATTATCGTATCGAAGGTAGAAACTTGAGCAACGATATATCGAAATTATCGTCATGGTTGAAGACTATCGTGATATTGCTTCGCATGTGTACATAAAATCCTAAAAAATTCTTTCAGTTCCTACAAAATATAGTTTTTAAAAGAATTAAAACTATTTTCTGAATGAAATACGAATTTAATGCGCCACAAAAGCTACTGTAATATTTATGTATTAATCCACTGAACAATGTGAGCTGTGTGCACACAGCATTTGTGCCAGCGGAGACATAGTAGATAATGCATATATAGTTCTGGTTTATGAACAGTAAATATTAGACTATAGAAAAAGCCTTCATATTACTTTAATTTGTTGTTTTTACTTGTTTTTTAATAAGATTATAGATAAGCTTACTATGCTTTGATATTAATTAAAATTGAAAAATGTGGTCATTGCATTTATCGCGATATTATCGAATATCGTGATAATTTCCTTGACAATAATCGTGAGATAATTTTTTTAATATCGCCCAACCCTAGTCATTGCCCGGGAAAATTAAACAATTCAAAATAACTACTAAGACCAGCATTCCTCATGGGCATCAAGCCTTGTGACATCATTATCTGTAGTGTCGTTCCATGATTCCCTAACGTACAGTAATTCTGCAGCCATGTTGTATGGCAAAATTTATAATTATATTTAGTTTTGGTTTGTGACGCACACCAATATATGTGGTTAATTTACTCACCCAAGTCCACATTTTTCTTTATTGCAACAACAATCTCAAGCCCCTGCACTTCAACTTCACAATTTTCTTGCATGAGCGAGCTCCATGGCACGGAGACAGCAATGGTGTGAATGAAACCATCAAGGATTTCCAGAGGAACATTTGCTCCTTCAAGCAATTCATTTAATGCCTAAACAGTGAGATCTTTGTCTCAGAGGTCATCATGAAAACCCAGTACAATTAGTATATATAGTCTGTGTACTGTAAACAGCTAGGGTCTGAAATATAAAATATTTTTCAGGACTGAAATGTCAGGATTCAAACTTCCCATGCAGGGCCATGCCAAGTGGTTTTTGGTTGGGGGGGTGAAATAAAAAATTTGGGCCCCAGCCTCCCATTTGGGGCCCGGTCAAAAAATTTTTTTCCAGAAACCAAAGAATTTTTCCGGAAAATACTGGGGAGGGGGAGGAGGCCCCCAAAATTTTTTCAAACACTAGGTTTACATAATGGGGGCTTAAATTTAGTTTTGAAGACCTTTTTAGACCAATTTTCCAGAAAATTACTTATTTAATATTTAACACGTTCCACTTTCCAGGGCCCCCTCTCCGCAATTTGGGCCCCCTTTTTTACTTTTCTTTGGGGGGGGGTGTTACACCCACCCCCCAGGTGGCATGGCCCTGGATTCCCATCTGAGAAAACTGTATCCCACTTCTGGGATACTGGTTACTGGTTATGTATTTTGGCATCTGTGAACCATCAAAGTACAGTAAGTTTACAGTACATGTCTCTCATTGTTAGAAACTCAACAGTCAACAACTACTGTAGACCACCAAGTTAAAAATCATACTGTAGCCTGGTTATTTTCAAGAAGGCAGCAGACTCGTAGTATTCGAAGCTTTGGGAGACCAATATTGGAAATTTTGTAATATCCTGTTGGCATACAAATCATTCACAGTTTGGAATCCAAAATCAACTGGTGTACAGTACAACATTCATTACTCATTGCACTGGTGGAAAATATGCAATGGATGAGTAGGCAGAGTAGCTCGCTGGTTCCAGAATCGACATTTTGTTTCCCATTTATGTTTTTGTTGGAAACATGCATATACAGTACTTTTTCTGGGAAGTTTAACTTGGGGGGTAATCTCAAAAATGTTTGTACTGTAACTGAATTGAAACTTGGGATGAATTATTGAATTTAATGGGGCAACATTCTAGTGATACACCGATATTCATATTGGTGCATCAGTATTGGCTTATCAGTATAAAATAGAAATAGCGGTGTCAGCTGAATTTTGTTGTTGATATTACTGAATGATATTACAAACTGTTATTAAATATTAATGATTGGTTATAGTTGCAGTTCAGTAGTTATTTTTATTACAAATAAACAGTCACTAGCGCAGTAATATACTATTGTCTAGTTTGTTTCAAATTGCATTTGCAGCATTTCATTTCAATTGATATTTTCAGTATTTAGAAACAAATTAATTGAATTCAATTCAAAAGTATTAAATGAATTAAAGTAAAAGTAGAACTGTCATGATATCATCTGAATTTTGGGAAATGACATGAAATATCGGTATCTGCAAAATATCGGTCCTTCAATATAGGTTATCGGTGAATTTCCATATCCATTCGGTGCACCACTACAACATTCATATACAATAGCCTCTGAGTATCCTGGTTCCAGAAGCTCTTAAAGATTGGAAGGCAAAATAAACACGAGGCAATAGAGTCTCTGGTCAAATTGTTTGTGAATCTCAGTTCCATACTTGGTATTTGAGAATCGGAACTTTGCATGTGATATTGGTTATTTGTAAAAACGTGCCAAACTGGTTTAACAAATAAACATGTACAATAGCTATGATGTAATTAATATAGCCTGCAAATGTACATTAGTGTAATTGTCATGCTCTAATTGCTCCCTCACACCAATTTACTAACGACTTTGTGTACCAATACACCAACAAATTTTGTAACCTCATGTCATTGCCAGAGATATCTGGCGTGAAGTGTATGGTATGCACCCTGGACTGGAACCAGGGAACCCTGGCTGGATAGTTTGAAAATTGGGCAGCTGATACTTCAAAAATTTAATACTATAAAATATATAGAAAACATCAAAATTGTGCCTCCGATATCTTGGTTGTGCGAATATACAAACTTTCCACAATGGCAGGGAACCCTTCGAGCTCACTCATGAAACATATCATATTTTTTATACATGTAAGCATGAATCAGCTGAAAAGTGAATGAAAGGACAAAATGTTATAAATAGAATAATGATAACATTTTATAACATACACGTAAGCCCAAATTTATATTACACAAACCAATTTTATGTTTTGAAATACGGTGTGCATAAAAATAAACAAAAAATTACAATATTATTCATGGCATACTATTCTTGAGTTTACCTACCAATACATCCAAAGGGACATCTTTTACAATGCCTTTTCCATTGAAGAGGTCGACACTGAGTTGATCTAACGTCAACTTTTCCTGTAGAAATTGCCCGACATAATGTTGTAATAGATATCTACAAGCCCGTTTCTTGATCGAATCAGACCAGGGGAAGTACCATGGCATCTTAAATGCTGCAACATTTAGTTTTATTTAAACCAAAACAGGAATGAAACGTAAAATAAGAGCTAAACGTAATAATATGTTTACATCTTGACATTCTGATTTCTTGTTTTCGTTTTTAACGACCGCGCAATACTTGACACTTTCCGAGGACTGGTGTGAGGTATCTGTTTGTTTGTCTGTTTGTCTGTCTTTGCCGTGGCCTGCGACAGTGCTCTGTGTATAAAAGTCTGCGAACCTACAAGAAAAAGCTTGTTTTATCATATAAATCTCTCAGCAAAAGCAGGACGATTCATGACAACTGAATCGATACATAAATCACAGACCACAGATTCGATCCTTAAAGAGGATCCAAAGGACATAGTGTTGCATTTTTCGCAACCGTTCCTGGTACTTGGATTATCCACCAAACCCAGTATTCTGATTCAACCAAGTGAAGTGCACCCAACATCTTTCAAGTTTACCTGATCACAACCAGCACACCAAAAAACCTATATATATAAATCAACTTAATTGCGGTTAGAGCTCGACAACTGGCCTTTGTAGCTCAAGACTAAACTTTAAGACTAAAATCACTAACCTATACTTCGATAAATTAGCTACGTATTGCTTACCTGCGTGAATATTTCTTAGTGTATTGTATTGATGTATAGGGGTAGGATGGCAACTGGGACATTAGTCCTGTATCTAACTCCTGCCAGTCGTCTGTTTGGTAAACTTGTAACTTGCTATACAGTCATTGTAATTTACTGGCGAATTAATTAAACTAAACTAAACTAAACTAAGTTGTAAGTTCTTTGTATGTTTGCATGGTGATAAAATATAATAGGTTTTGTTTGTGGAAACACCACGTAAATTTATTACTGCAAAGCTTTCGATCCGTAAGCCCGGATCTTCATCAGTGCTAATAATATGACATATTATTAGCACTGATGAAGATCCGGGCTTACGGATCGAAAGCTTTGCAGTAATAAATTTACGTGGTGTTTCCACAAACAAAACCTATTAAACTAAGTTGGTTAGAGCGCTGCACCGGAATCGTAGGCCGCAGGTTCGATTCCTGCCAGTGGGCCTAGTGTTGCATCAGTTTCGCAACCGATCCTGGTTAGGTCTTTAATTGTGTACATATATGCTTACTTGGATTATCCACCAAACCCAATATACAGCAATTATCTATTTCGTAGTGTTAACGTGCACATCATGCAAATAACGCGTTCTATGTCATGATCAGGATGAAATTGCGCTTGAATTGTAACACGTGCGTACCTGAGAATTGAGTAAGTGGGTGAGTGCTAATCATGCTTACTTGTAGATAAGAGCAAAGCTGAACTGCAAATGGCTCCGCTCAACCAGATCGAATCGAAGGCTTTTTAAGGGCCCTGCCGCATGGAAAGTGTAGGGGCTAATCCCAACTCACTTTGTCAACATCCCCAACGGGAGGAAAGTCAGGAAACTAGCTAGAGTACTTGGAGAGAACTGGCACGACTTTCGGTAGAGCCTTCGTCACGTCTACGAGAATCGAACTCACGATCGATCAGAAGTGAAAGGCGTTTGGTTTGAAGATTGCGTCCCCGAAGCCTCAAGGGATGCTTATTTGGGAAGGCACTACTACTACTGCAGGGCTGCAAAATTACCACTAAAAAGGAATTCATTCCAATTACAATTACTTGTTTTAAAATGTAATAAATTCCTGATTACAATTACTTGTTCTAAAATGTAATTAAGTACAATGAAAAAATTACTCCGGAAAAAAAAATTAATTACAAATTCCTTTACCGGCAAATTGTTACTATATATATTATAGGACAATATCTTAAACAGCAGTTGTAAATAAAAACGGTATAAACTTTGAAATTTGCAAAACATTTGACATGCAAATCGAAGCATGTAAACTTAAAACTTTATTTGCCAATATTTGGCGCTCTGAGCCTCGGAACCGAAATTGTGGTTCCACTTTCGCAATAAATAGTACTTCATGTAGGCTATCATGTCATATGATCTCGTTGAAAATTATTTCAGCCATTTTTCTGAATTTTTGTCGTCACGTTGTATTTTTTATTTCTTATTTTTAACAGAATAAGAAAAGGAATTTTCAATTTGCTCCTTGGAAAAGGAACACGTTCCTTGCTTTTGTAATTAATTACGTTTTTCGTTACATTTCTAAAAACGTAATTAATTACAGGTTAATAAAAATTACTTCAAATGTATCGAGTACACAGTAACGCGTTACATTTGTAACGAGTATTTACAGCCCTGGGCACTAGTAGAGGATTTAGGATGGTTGCGTTCAAGCTAACAGCATGATGCCAGCCAAGATACCAGTCGTGGCCTCAAGCCCAGTCGGTGATGACTTCTCCTAATACCGGCTGGTAATTGAGTCCATACGCTCATGCACGCGTCACAAATGCGGATATACAATAACTGACAATGACAGTATTACATTTGGAGGTACTCAGGACACAGAGTAAATAGCATATACAGATGTCTCACTTCTTGTTAACATTACCGTAAGGGATTTTTCCAGTCCGCCACGTTTTTAGCAAGTGCACTAAAGAAAGGCCGTTACCCCCTGAAAAAATATTGAAATTTAATATTCCAGGGTGGTGAATACCTTTTTTTAAGGCACTTGTTGAGAACATGGCTGTCAGATACGCGCAGTAAAACCTACCTTACGTTTTTCTCGCGAAGTGAGACCTCTGTAATTTGCTCGTCTCTAATTTGCTCGTCTGTAGCCGGCTTTATGAAACAATTAGCACAAGTCCTCTACATGAAAAGCCTTTAAGATGTATTGAAGAACTTCGTTGATAAAGTTCCCTTCAGGAAACACGGAAAATGCTCTTCTAGCTTGGCTGAGCCCCCTCCTCCATCTCCAATAACAATTTGCTTTCGACGGTGCTGTATACAGCCAATTCAAAAAGAGTTGTCCTTTGCAAACCTTGAACTCTAAACCTTAAACCTTAAAATCTAAGCGCGCAAAGCTTAATGGGAGCACAAATTTCAAACTTTGTAGTTGAATATTGCAGCTATTTGTGAATGAATTGTTCTCGTAAGAAGATGTTTACCATGTCTCTAAGAAATGGGTCCATATTTGATTATGAAATGATTAAATGATGCTCCAATTATGCTTTGCACGCTTAGAGTTTAAGGTTTATGGTTTAGTTTAAGGTTTGCAAAGGACAACCTTTTTTGAATTAGCTGTATATGATCATGCTGAGGACTATACTGCTTTACTAGGTGAGTTTGTTGCGCGAAGCGAAAAAGTCGTCATCAAAAGCGTTTCCAATCAATAAAGGAAAAAGTTGCATACTTGCAAATTATGTTACCAAACGCGGTCGCAATCGCTTTTATTTTACCAGCTGTTTCTGTGATTTGTTAGATGAACAAATATGCTTCTTTGTGTCAAAGATTGTGTTTGCATTGCATGCATTCATGTTGAATTAGCTGTCTAAACTTCGGGGGTGGAGCGGAATAATGAAAATGAATAAATTAAAGGTTCATGTGAGAAACAAATAATAAATTAATGTTAAAAAAATACAGATAATAAACAACGGAATTATGATGGAGATAATATACAATAAGCGGCTTTAGTATTTTTGCGCAAGTGAACATAACAAATCCTACAACCTGATTGGTCAAATTTGACGTATTAAACAAAACTGAAATTTTCAAAATGGCGGCTAGCCGTTTTGTGAAAGTTTCGTTACTGATAAAGAAATAAGCGAAATTAAAATAAATTCAGTACCAAATAACACAAAAGACTTGTGTAAAAATACTAAAACAAGTTATTCGCTTCAGGCTCGGTGATTATCGGGGAATATTCACCTCGACTTCGTCTGGGCGAATATTCCCCGATTGAATCACCTTGTTAAGTAATTTATATGGAGTCGGGCTGGCCCAGTTAACCGGGACAAGTCTTTCAATAAAGTTCTTATCACGGCTTTGATGAACATTCAAAATAACATTTTAAAAGTGGAATTCAGAGCTAAGATTGATTCCAGGAACAGCATCAAGTTTATTCAAACGATCTTTTTTGGTCAGGAAAAATTTTTTGTGACACGATACATCCTGCCTATTAGCACCATTACAATAATCTAATGTTAGAGTGAATAAATCTTAGTTTTACACATAGTTCTAATCGATGCTTAATTATAACTTTGTTCTATTCTATGTTCTAGAACAATAGTAATTATATTTAATTAGAAATTTTAAGTTCTCAGGGTGTAACAAAGCGTTCTTTTCTAAATCAGCAGCTCTATTAAAATTGAAACAATAAGCCTAGAATTAAGAGAAGATTTGATATACCAATGTTCAGGCGGCTAGCTTCTAATTGAACATTGTGAAATTTGGTATTCTTAAAGCTGGCTAACACTTCTAACACTATCAAAATTTCTGTGATCACAGACTCAGTACGAATTTTCTATAGGTAAATTCTAAGTTCTGAAGGATTTGTAAGAAGTGTTGAGGGAATTACTGACTCAGTGTTAAGCCTGCAGCACACGAGAGCTATCTGCTGAGTCAAAAGTTACTCGTGTCTGTTAGCTCAGCCGATAGCTCACCGATCAAACATGTTTGATACGTGAGAAAAGGTTGCATGAGGCAAAAAACTCAGTAAAATGTACCCGCACACGGTGAGCTATCGGCTGAGCTAACAGGCACGAGTAACTTTTTGCTCAGCAGATAGCTCTCGTGTGCTGCAGGCTTAAAACTCTATTTCAGAACCATCCTCAGAGATACGAAAAACTGAATTACTGAATCAGTGTCAAACAATACGTCAGTTTCCTCGAACATTTCTTACAAGTCCTTAAATACTTAGAATTTACCCGTGCAAAATTCTCACTGTGATCACAGAAACTTCGATAGTATAAACCTGATATTTGTTGTGTTAATTGGTGTAGTGTACTCAGGTGAATAAGATGCTTGTGATGTTACTCTGAGTGTGTATCCACACCGGGCAGGCTTGAAAAATATGCCTGGCCACGGTAGGATTCGAACCTACGACCTTTGGATTACTAGCCCAATGCTCTGCCAACTGAGCTACGCGGTCAGGTCGGTTCGAAATGCGATATTTCGGAACTGAGTCTAGTTCCTTCGATATCAGTGTAATCTAATAATCGTGATACGTATAAACCTTTATAAAAATGCTTGGAATGCCTGTTCTGCATATGTAGAATATCAAGCAAAGATGTACTAGGCCATAAGTGTAAAAGGCCTGTTGCTCTTTTGTCTTTTTAATTTGTATGTTTATAAAGTGAAACACCCACACATCACGTGACCTAGCACAAGTTATATGGACAGTCTTCCAAAAGTTTAAACATAAACATTGCACATGCGTAGATCGAACTGTACATAGCCTTTAAATCGATCTACCACTGTAGATGCGTCCTAGAAAAATTTTGTATGATTATATTTATTTGCTTTTCTATATATAAGACCAAAGTAGAATTTCGATATTTGTGTAACACTAAAGAAAAACAACTTGGGGGCCTAACTTTTAACTTAAATTGTGTTTAAACGGAATGAATGTAAATATATGTTAAATGGATACGCGAATATTTGTGCGTTACGAATTGTGGGGATTAATTAACTCACACGTACGACGTCTGACACCTTGAATATCTTTAGTTTCGGTGAGCACAGTTCAGTTCGAGCAAGCGCCTTTTAATAATAATAATAATAATAATAATGATTTATTGGTAATATATCCACAGAGTGGCTCTTCGCTTACCAAATTATATAAATTATAAAGTATTCATAAAGTCTATAAACTATTTTACGAACATTACTGCAATATATAACTTTGAATATATAACGTGTTCGACAGGACAAAATATTACTTACAAAATTACGAAATTAACTAAGTTAGAACAAAACTGTACGAAACTATATACATTTAAATATTTCTTTCTAAGATTATCCAAGTCTTGACCATGCTTTCAAGACTAAGAAATTTTTGGTCTCATTGTAGAATACTCTGTAGTCTCTGCAATTCCTAATTTCTTCTGGTAATTGGTTAAAAAGATGTGCTGATTGGTCCTGTAATGTGTTCTTAATTAAAGGGACTTGAAGCTGAGAGCCTTTGCTTGATCTCAGAACTCGAGAATGTTGAACCAATTGTAGCTTTTGGTAACTTGGCCAATTTTCATCGTAAAGCGCTTTGTAACTTAATTTTAGAACGTTTTATCTATGAGATCGTTTTACCTTTTACCTATGAGATCGTGCGTTCGATTCTCTCGTTGTCCGCTCATGCAAAAAGAGTCAGTCAACGCCCTGCCGAAAGTCGTGGGTTTTCTCCGGATCTTCCGATTACTTCCCACAGGGAAATTTGACAGGGTGAGGATAAACACAGTAAGAAAAGTAATATCACAGTTGTTGTAAGAGTTAAAATAGTCTAGGCTAAGTATGTAATTAGGTAAGCTTTTAATACTTAATGTAAAACACATCATATCCACATGCAAATTTTGTGCTACAGATGTCTTAATTTAAATTAAAACTCCTCTACAATTATATTAGAGAGAAAATTGCCTCGCATAGCCTAAACGGCGTTCTGTCATTTTAATATTGTCCCACATATGAGTGCATGATATATAATTTTAATATAATTAACAAGTTCTTCCTCTTTTGTGCTGCCTGTCAGTATTTTATCTTGTGTTTGTGTGCTGTTTTAACAGTCTCTAAGCTGGTACAATACAGGATTTTGGCATGTGTACATTTTCTGACATATATTACGCAAGTTCTGAGTTACGACATTGTTCTTATTTTTGGCACATCAAAATTGGACTATTAATTAATGCTATATAAAAGAAGCTCATTGGCCAGTGCACTTCCATTTCTTAGGTACAACACGAAAGCAGAAGGACAACAGTTCACTTCAAACAAGGTAAATGAAAAATGTGATTATTGTTTTCATGTATAGTAATATACCCGGTATATAAAAAAGTTCACAATTCCAAAACGTCCACTATAATTAAACTGGAAATTCCGCAAATTGACAACATGGGTATAGTTTGGGGCCTTCTGGCATCTCTGTTCTTTATCACCAAATTATTTGAAAGACTTTCGAGTACAGAAGCTATTTTTCAAAACCAAACCTTTTTCCAAAACTTTTAAAAATGGCTTGCGGACAAGGTGCGCATCTGAAATGTTTTTATGAACTATCAAAGTACCAGGCTGTTTGATCCATGTGTAGACTATTTAAAACATGAGCAGCAGTGTTTTATCAGATATAAAGATTCGAGGAGAAGCCGAGTATCTTCAGGTCTGATAAAACATGCACTGCACGCGAATGTTAGTAAGTTTATTGGCGAAGCAATTTTCAAAAAATACGTTCTGTAAGTCGAGAAAATCAAAGGTAAAATTTATGTAAATTAAGGGATTAAGGGAATCTCTATCGCGCGCATGATACGACAGCCTATGATTTTTCTTAAGTTTTTGTAGATAATTTATAAGATGCACGACTCATTTTACGCATGATTGATTTTATGCAGATTAATTTTTGCATACTCTTTACAAAAAGTTTAAAAATTATGCATGAGAGGCTACTATGGCAAAAAGTCTAAGTTTTAAAGATCGCGTGTTGGAGTCAATTATCTGGTACTTTCAAATGATGCAACCAATTAGTTCAAATTGCGTTTCAAACCTTTCGTTTTTGTGCACAAGGAGTCTTTACGTTGATTTAAGAAAACAGCCTTGTTGTACTCGAAATTTACTTTTAGAATAATCTTGTAATGTAGATATCAGAAAACCCCAAACTACCCATACCAGCATAAAGTTGTGACAAATTGTACGAAATTTTCTGTTTAATGATCTGCGCAATTTGTTGATACACGTTGTAGAGTGCACACCGTAGGTTCGCACAATAAGGCACAGCCGGGAAAATCATGTAATTTGCATTGCCTGTGGAAGATATGCACAGTCGAAACATACCCAAATCGTGGTTTAATTCTTGTTCTGAGCTCAAGACATCCATGTGAAAAGAGTGAGTCAACGCTCTAGCGTTGCTCGTGGGTTTTCTCCGGGTACTCCGATCTCCTCTCACAGGGAATGTTAACAGGGTGGTTGGGCTTAGCCCCTAACTGACTCTTCCACCGTCCGTAATTATGTAGTCACGATAAATTACGCTCTGTACGTTGCATATCAACCGTATTTAACAGGGCATTTTTTAAGAATTCGTCAGTGGGGGGGAGCCATCTACAAAAAGGGACCATACTATACCAAGTGTGGAGAAATGATAGATGGTTGTTGGTAACAAAAAATTTAGTGTGGTATCGCATTTAATTGTAGGGGGGTCTGGGGGTATTGTCCCCCAGAAAATTTTTGTATTTTTCTACCCCTATGACTGCAATTCCTGCATTTTTTGAAACAGATTTTTGGATATACAGCATTACATTATGCTGTAGGTAGACTGAACCTTTAGTGAAATACTTGCATGATACAGTATGTTTATGTAGATACCACAACTTGGTCACTCAGGGAGCCAGCTTGCTAAACTTAGGAGGCCTGACTCTCACGAAGTGCCACCATGGTTGGCACAGAGCGGGAAAATTTTGGAAATTTTGTGTCTCTAAATCGTCGGAAATGGCATTTTCAAAGTCTTCTCTACCTCTTTTGTTAGGCCCTTTCATTAATTCTTTCATTATGATTTGTGAGTCTATGCTATCTGTGAGTCAGGATGGATTATTACGAGAAATGTTGTCAGTATCAAAATGTCGATTACAGATATTTGATTATATATACACATACGATTTCAAATACTTCTAGTTTCGAAATCAATTGGGGTTTTTTTGGTGGTGGGCCTAAATTATCCCCCCTTATAAAACACTGGGTTGGGGGCCCGTTTCCCCCCTGCGGTCACTAACTTGTTTAGCCGAGCCTTCCAACAACTCAAATCTATAGGGTCTGGGAAATGCAATCCACTGGAAATGTTTAAAATCTAATAAGGTATTTACAACACAATGTTTAGCATTAAATAAAGTTAAAAGACAGGACATAAGATTCACAAAGCAAATTTCAGTTACTAGAATATCAAACCTCCCTTCTAAATTTTATGTTTTGCTCATATTTTAGAGAAAAGGGACTTTGACTGGGGGGGGGCAAAATGGTTGAGTGGGGGGGGGGGCCACCATGGGGGCTGGGGGGCTTTGCCCTCCCCCCCCAGTTATATAGTTAAGAAATGCCCTGGTATTTCACTAATTACGAAGTTTGTATACGTATTTTTCATGTTCACCACCGCCAATTCACGTACGTCTCATTTTAATGTGTTTCCATCAACCACTAGCGTAAAGGCAATTTTCCATTGCAGTCGCTTTGCCCGCGCGGGCGGACCGTTCATTGTTTTTGAAGCCCGTCACGCCCGTGTGAGCAGATTTTCAAGGGCCGCTCGGGCAAAGCGATTGCAATGGAAAATTGCCTTAATGTCAGTTAAGCTGTTAGTAGGGCCGTACACGGCGTGGGGCAGATGGGGAAACAGCATGCCCCCTAGACAACCGCCCCCTAGAGAAAACTATATATTTACGATTTTAGAATGTTATTATTAATTATTCTTTGGACATTTGGGACATTCTTCGACGTATAGGCCTTACTGCTCCATGCATGGGGAAAAATCATGTGTACGGCCCTGGCTGCTAACCAACAAGCTATTTTATGAGATGCCATTTCTACACTTTTGCTATATCGCGTGACAGCAATGAATTAAAAGGCAAATCCGAGAACTGGATCAGAATGCGAGGACTTGAAATCTAGTTCAGTCCGAATTGGAGGGTTTGAAATTACATCTCATACGAATAAATCACTAGTTAAAGTGAGGTGAATTAATTTTGATCCAGTCCAAAGACTGAATTAATTTTGATCCAGTCCTATAGGTCTGGGTCTATATACTGTACATCACCAGGTGCCCAGGTATCCAGTATTATCATGTTAGCAATAAAGCAATATGGTTGGCTAATTTACTCATGAATTATTAACGAGTTTGAGATGAATAGTTGAAGAGTTTTGTATAGGTGGGAACGATCAAGTGTAAATTTATATGAATTTATTATACTGTACCTAACCAGAAAGAGCTTCGAAAAATACAACTACTGTATAGGTCCCTGGCAGGAATCGAACCTGGAACCTGCGATCTAACCAACTGATCTACAGAGTCCAGTTGTCGAGCCCTAACCACTAGTTCATATATACAACCAATAAAAAAGGTTGTCTTTTGCAAATCTCAGTTAAACTCTAAACCTTAAACCTTAAACTCTAAGCGCGCAAAGCTTAATGGGAGCACAAGTTTCAAGCTTAGTAGTTAAATATTGCAGCTATTTGTAAATGAATTGTTCTCCTAGCTAAGGAGATATTTACCATGTCTCTAAGAAATGGGCCCCATATATGATTTCTAAACAGATTAAGTGGTACATCCATTATGCTTTGCAAGCTTAGAGTTTAAGGTTTAGGATTTTGAGTTTAAGATTTTCAAAGGACTACCTTTTTTGAATTAGCTAGGGTACCGCCATGTTAGGTTATACATTTAATAGAGTGTTAATTTATATACATTTATTTTGTTAGCTGTTAGTGACAAATGCCTAGAGTGCTATATTTATCTTATTCACACCTTCCTAAAAGAGCTGGTGTAACTGTGTTTTTCTTCCAGAAACAGAGATGCATTCGGCGGTTGTCTTTACAGCAATATTCGCAGTAATTTTCCCTGCATCAGTTTATGGTCATGGAATGATGATGGATCCGGTTAGCCGTGCAAGTCGTTGGCGTAAAGGATACGGCGGTCCGAAAGAATACACCGACAATCAATTGAGCTGTGGTGGTAGAAATGTACAATGGGGGAAACATAAGGGTAAATGTGGTGTTTGTGGGGATGAATATGGCATCAAAAATCCGAAGTTCCAATATCCCGGTGCGTTCGCAAGGAATCCACCAATTGTGAAAACATATCGAGAGGGTCAAGAAATTGAAGTCCAAATCAAGATCACGGCCAATCATCTGGGCTATTTCACATTCCGTCTCGCGCCATTGGTAAAACAGCCCGTTACGCAAAGCGAATTGAACAAGATCATGTTAAGAATGCCAAATGGAAACGCAGAGTGGAAACTACCGCCTGGAAATAGGTACTACACTATCAAACTGCAGCTGCCCAAAGGCGTGACATGTGAACACTGCGTGATTCAGTGGTGGTGGAACACTGGCAATAATTGGGTATGTAATTTTCTTAGATCTACAGGGTGTATAAAAAAACGCAACCTCGAAATTTCCTAAGATATCCACTTTGCAATTCTTAAGCGTAAAAGATCTTAGGCCCCTGGGAATTGAAATCGAGTTGCTAATAGATCATATTACTGTTGTTGTACTGTACTTGTAAAATAAAAACTTATTAAGATTCAAGTGTCATTAAATAAATGCATAAATTTTGCTTTATGTACTCGCGTGTGCAGTAATTTTGACAGTGATGCTATTTTAAATTCCCAGGCACCTAAAATCTTTTGCCCTTAAAACAATGTCGATTTCTTGGGAAATTCCGTAAACGCGGAATCATTGACGCACATCGCATTTTAATTGATTTTGGGCACGTTTCAAGTCAAGAAATATTGTTTCCTTGCAATGTTTCTTGAAGGTGAAAAATCGCCAGAAAATTATGTTTCCTAGTCATACTTCCTGAAGGTAGGCAAACCAGGAAACACTGTTTTCTATTACTTCAAAAATCCTGGTACACCGCTTTCCTAAAATTCCCAAAAGAAAATTCTGGCAAAATCCCCGAAATTCCGTCCTTAAACTTTCTACAAAATCACTAAAAATCTTACAAAATAGCTAAGAATCTTAAAAACTCCTGCAAAATCCTCAAAATTATATTCAAAATCCCCAAAACTCTTCAAATTCCTAAAATCGTGCCGAAAAACATCCTTTAAAATCCGCTGAAAATCTCGTAAAAAGTTCCAAAATTTCCGGGCGTTTCTGCAGGAATTTGAAATCTTAGAGTATAATTCACCCTTTAATACCGGCATTACTGTAAGAAGGACAGATTCAAACTATTTCATTTTGCTTAAAATTCGCCTGGTTTTTGAACCATATATACGTGGCCCTGTTTGAATGTATAGGCTACCATGCAGCCGCCAATGTGGTATCGAAATCGTCTATGGAAATTGTCTTTCAAAAACTAATGAAATTGAATCATATACACAATGCACGGGTAAAAGGTCATTCTCAAACTGCTAAGATCCTCTCTCACGCAGGAAAATCTCGAATCACTGCTCATTATTTCTTTTGGAAAGGATTTTGCGCTGCAAATAGCAAACCTGGAATAGGGAACAAATTGATATATTATAATTGTCATGTATAATTTGCTAAGAGTAAAGAAATGAGCTCTTTAATTCTATTATAAACGTTTAAAACTAATGATCAAACGGACGTTGATGTGATCCAGCCATCACTAACCGCATTTTTTTCACTCTGAGAAGCTGTCAGTTCGCCCCTGCATGATATGGTTCTATATACAAATCTGTATATAAATCAAATCAGCCACCGTCAGAGAGGCATCATTTAAGAAAAAGATAGCATAGGTTTTACTACTTTTATAAGAATCAGTAACGATATGTTTCAATTGGCAATTTGGCATCCATGAAAGGTTTAGATCTGTCCAGGTCTTGCTGTCTAAAAATGTTAAATGTTTTACTGTAAAACAGGTAGACGCTAATTAGGGCCACATCGTTTCGTTAGTGGCCTTCAATTCTCAGACTTTTATATTTCCAGCTGAAAATCAACAATAAGCAAACATATAACTAGTTTTGTTTGTGGAAGCACCACGTAAATTTATTACTGCAAAATCTATTTACGTGGAAACGTGGTCATAATTTATTTTACAAAATCTATTTATTATTTTTTTAAATTTTTTTTTTTAAATCTATTTACGTGGTTTTTCCACAAACAAAACTATATATTATATGTTTTATCGCCATGCAAACATACAAAGAACTTAATAAGCAAACAATTTCCGATTTATTTTCTGTTTAGGTAAATGACAAACCAGAAACCTTCGTGAATTGTGCTGATATTGCAATCCTTCCTTTGTAAATGCGACTAGAACAATGCACAAGAATCTTAATCAGAATAAATATGACGATTATTGTTGAAGAAAATCAGTAAATAAAATCTCTTAAAAACGTTAAGTTTGTGTATTTGAATTGAAAAAAAGCTTTTCAGGCCTTGGTGACACGGATGATTTGATCTTTTGCTTTCAAAGCCTTTAAGTGTGACGCATGAAAAAATACAAATTCGAACACAGCTAATCGTTCAAGTTCCTATGTGAACTGATTAATGGGAATTTTCGTATAATACACACGCAAAAATGTTTGAAATTGGATCCACTTTGTTCGGACTCCCTTTTCCCTTACCCTCTCCCCCTTGCCTTGATGAAACTGATTTTATATGAACCGCGTAGAGGATTAAAGCTGAGCTTCTTTTTCACGCCAAAAATTCAAAACAAGCGGTTGAAGTGAAAGTTTAAATCGGGAGACGTTTATTAAAATTTTGGCTGTTAAAATTATAGGCAAACCAAAAATACGTGTATAATGCATTGCACCAAATATCAATTTATAAATAGACTCGCTTTATTCCTCTGAAATTAGTCGCACGCCGCAAGCACTTTATGGTAAATATCGTGTGCGAAATATTTTGCGTTTTGTCGAAGTCGTATGTTCGTCAACTTCTATATAGGCCAATCTTAGCTATATACTATATATATATATATACAGTTGTATACAAAAAACCTGCACAGTTCGAAAATGTTTGCTCAACTGCAAATTCTGCAAAATTTGTGAAAAATTTATGCGTGCATGGGTAGCTTGGGGTGTGATAGTATCTTCACCACTAAAATTATTTCAAAAGTATTTTTTAAAATGATTTTAATTTATTATTTTAAAATTATTTTAATTTTTTATTTATTAATTTTTTTTATTATTTTTTTTAAATATTTTTATTATTTTAATTATTTTTTATTATTTTTTTTTAATTTTAATTATTTTTAAAGTAAGTTTTTGAGTTCAGGAGGGTTGTTTTTTAAAAACCACTTTAGAAATGGATTGCGCACAAAAATGAAAGGCTTAAAATGCAATTTGAATTCATACGTTGCAAATTTAGAAGGTGTTTTATGAACTACCAAAGTACCAGTCAATTTGATATACATTAAATTCTACCCGCGACCTCAAAGCTTGGACTTTTTTTCCATGATTGATTTCATACAAACTCTTTTTAATACAAACAATTTAAAAATTATACGTGATAGGCTACAGTGGCAGAAATCTCCAAGCTTTAGAGGTCGCGCGTTGGACTTAATATATGTACATCAAATTAATTGTCTTGTACTTTGATAATTCATAAAACACCTATGATTTCTAATTGCGTTTAACGACTTCCACTTTTTGCGCAAGCCACTTTCAAAGTGTTTTTTATAAAAACCTCTTTTGCATCTACTCGAAAATTTACTTTTCAAAATAATTTTAGTTGTAAAGAAACTAGCAACTACCCGTGCTTGCATAACGTTTTCACACATTTTGGGAAATTTGTATTTTAGCGGACATTTTCCAACTGTGCAGTTTTACACCTTGCATCTACAATGCGTTTTCATTGAGTGCTTGCGGCGCGCCACAAATTTCAGAGGAATAGGGCGAGCTTATTTAATGCTTTCTAGACGTATTTTTGGGCTGCCCTCGTTAAAATAGATGTTCCAAGTAAGGAATTTTACACTGGAGTTTCAAATTTTCAGGTACATGCTACATTTCATAAATAGTATTTTCGATGTGCTGCTTTTTAATTTTAATAGTGTTACATTTCATTCAACAGTTATTGGAGTCAAAACGTAGACTGAGTAGGGCAAATGCACACTCGAGAAATTCTTTTTCCAATAACTTTGCACGCTTGATAACCCCTTATAATTGCTCAGCAAAGTTCTTCCTTGGAAAACAAGCGCAGAAATGTCAGATATTTTCACAGAAAATGTATGGCAGACAAAGCATCATGCATTCAGAATGTGTTTTTGTCAAATAGGAAGATCAGAAACGTGCTTGGTTCTTGGCTGAGAAAGAGACATTTTGTGCAAACTCTTCAGAAATTATTTTTAGTTTTTTACAATTTGCAAAACTTTGCGCAGATTTCCATAATTGCAAGAATTTTTGCGCGGGAAATTAATTTTCTTCAAAGCCAAAACTTTACAGTCTGGTAACTGCATTTATCCTTAGGCAGCTTGTGTTTGTTGCATAACCCTCGCGAAATTATATTTAATCCAATAACGTGGTGGCGGAAATCTTGGTTGGGCGGTGGGGAGTACCTCCCCCACCTTCACGGAAAATTGACGAATTTTCGGAAATTTTGACCTAAAAGAGGGCTAAAAACAATCTTTTCGAGTGCAAATGGGGAGGTGGGGTACGTCGAAAATTTGAAAGTTTTGTCGGAAATTTATGAGGCTTTCCCCCCCCCCCTCCTGGAAAAAGTGAATTTCCGCCACTGATAACTTGGCACAATTGAATAACTCTATTTATATTAATTTATGCCTACACAACTTGTATTTAACTTGTATCTGATACAAATTGTATTTGTTGCACATTATTGGCAATTTAAACATTGACAATTTAACACCAATTTTAGGGCACATTTGAATAAAGTAATCAGACTTCAATTGCACGTCTGCATTTTTGTCTTGCAAAAACCTGCAGTTTCTTTGCATTTTCAATCAAACAACAAATTGTTTTAAATGATTCCGCCGTCTCCCCCTCCGGGCAAATTGAAATATTTCTTGGTGGGAATAGTAAGTCAAATTGCAGGCTTTTCAGCTTTCGTGGTGGGAAGCTACCGTCAAAGTTGCATCATTTTAAGAAAAAATAACGTAGCCATAAGTTCCACAACTTATATATGATTTAGTAATGATATGTTTCAATTGGCAATTTGGCATCCATGAAAGCTGTTGATCCGCATGTTCAGGTTTTGCTGTCAAAATTGTTGAATGTGGGAGGGTTTCACTGTAAAACCGGTAAACTCCATAAAGACTGCGTTGTTTCGTAAACCTTTCTCAGACACCTTCCTCTTTCCAGCCAAAAACAAACTGTAAGCCAAAAACAATTTCATTTATTTATAGTTTACAGTGTAATTTAATATTTCCTGTTTAGGTAAATGACAAGCCAGAAACGTTTGTGAATTGTGCTGATATAGCGATCCTCCCACAGGGTGGGAAACCCAGACCCACCCAGAGACCAAGACCCACCCAGCGACCAAAACCAACCCGGCGACCCAAACCGACCCACAGACCTCGACCAACGCGTCCTTCCAGGCCCTCTGGTAAAAATTGTCATGCTCTACCTAACGACTCGCGACCGGGAATGAACGAATGGTGTCGAAGAAATTGTACTCTTGGCAACTGCCCTGCAAGCCTTTGTAAATGCGACTAGAACGATGCACAAGTATCAGTACAAACGATTATTGTCGAAGAGAATTAGTAAATAAAGTCTCTTTTAGAAACTTTTATCTTGTGACTTTGTGTACATGCCACATATTGCAAAGTTTAATCTTCTTTAGGCCTCGGTGATACGGAACAAGTTGAGTTAAAAACTCAACTCAAATCATACGCATGATTTCATCTTTTGTCATAGGCGTACCGGGCGGGGGGGGGCGGCCGGCGGTAGCCCCCCCCCCCCCAGTTTGTTGGGCAGTCGGGCAATATTCGATGAACAGTCGGGCAATTTTGGTTTGCAATAAAAAAAAATGGGACAAATTCTGTCAATTTTGTCTAAAATTAAGTCAATTTTGTGCCAATTTTGTTTTTTTGAAAATTTGTCTTATGTTCCGAAAAATTTTGGTTGTCCGGAAAATTTTTTTGACCCCTAAAATGGTACACTGACCGAAATTTTTTTGGCGACGGGGAGGGGGTCGCCAAAATAATTTTTCAGGAAAAAATTTTTCGGTACTAGTCGGGCACAATCCCGAAAAGTCGGGCAATTTTCTTTCCGCCCCCCTAATTTTTTCCTTCCGGTACGCCCATGTCTTTTGTGTTGGAAGTGTTCATGTGTGAGACACGTCGAAACCATAGAAATTCGAACACAGCTAACTGTTCAAATACATCATTTCCGAATCACGCCGTAATTGTCAAGGACAATAACACCAAATGGAGGCTTGGTGCGAACATGATATAAAAACGCTATACAACTTAGCAACATACCTCGTTCTCAGGCTATTGTTTGTGGCATTCCGCGACCTTAGTGAATATATTAATGTGCCTTTTTTAAGAATTCGTCAGAGTGGGAGGGGAGGGAGCATCTACAGAAATGGACCATACTATATACAGAGTAGGGAGAGACGACAGATGGTACGTTGTTGGTGAAAAAAGGTTTAGTGTGGTGAGATATGTATAGTAGGGGATCTGAGGGCATTTTCTCTTCGGTTTTTTCCACCCCTAGAACTGCATTTCGCGTGCTTTCTGAAACAGATTTTTGGATATACAGTGTTACATTATACTTTAGATTGACTACATACCCAGTTGAGTACTTGTACGGTATGTTTATGTAAATACCATAACTCGGTCATTAGATAGCTTAAGATCTACGACGTCGACGTCAGCTAGGACGTCAGGGCTATGCAGGCGACTGGGACTAAGATGTCTTCCTAATGTAGCCCCAGTCCTCTGCTTAGTCCTGACGTCCTAGCTGACGTCGACGTCGTAGATCTTAAGCTATCTACTAACTTAACTTAGCCTTCTCACAACTCAAATCTATAGGATAAAAGATATGACGTACATAAGATTTAAAAAGCGAAGTTTATTTACTAGAATATCAAATCTCCCTTCTAAATGTTTTGCTTATATTTTAGAAAAAAGGGACAGTGACGAGGGGAGGGGTGCATTCCCCCTTGGCCCCTCAGTTTCATTTGCGCAATGAATCATAGGCGTATCGGGGGCACGGAGGGCACATGCCCCCCCCCCCCCCTCAATTTTTTACGGTCGGGCAATTGAGCAGAAATCCATGTGTCATGCATTCGGGCAAAACGATTAACATATAACTCTCATCAAAGTTGATAAGTAGAACTGCGGTCTACAATGGATAATTAAATATAATAACGCCAATATTAATTGCTTTTAATATACTTTGCCATATATGAAGACCACCTCTATATGAATGATACGATATTATAAAATAACATGTATATAACGCGTATTCTGATTGGTCGAAAGCCGTGTTTGGATCAGGCCATCCAAACATGGAAGACTACTGTGTTGTTGTTATTTTATAAAACAATTACTTTATGGTTTCCGTGTTTGGATGGCCTGATCCAAACACGCGGGAATGTTGCGAGAGTTAAGAAAAGCGAGCGAAATTACGAGCCGAAGGCGAGTGATTTTGCCCGCTTTTCTTAACTCGAGCAACATTCCCAAGTTTCCATTCATTCCCACGGTTTTCCATTCATTCCCATTCATTCCCAAGTTTCCATTCATTCCAACATTCCCACGGAAACCATAAAGTAATTGTATAATGGCTTATGGCAAAGATTATGAAGATTGCAGAAACATTGAGCATTGTTCTTAGTTTTTGTCTTAGTGTTTTTAGACATTTCGGTTAAACTTCTGCCAAAGCAGCCTTTACACAATCATAGCCATTTGTTTATAAAAGCACATACAAAATCCAGGGCCTTTAACAGTAACAGTAACAGTAATTTTAATCAAAATAAAAAATATACAAAAATTTAACAGTTGTCTGCAGGTAGCGAAAGCTATTCGAGGCAGACAACTGGAAAACTATACTACGAGTTAATTATAGAGATGACATATAAGTTTCAAAATATAAAAATGACATATAAGTTTAACACATAAAATGACATATAAGTTTCAAAATATATGCAATAATAATATTTTATCTTGGAAGAATTTAGCTGAATTTATCTAATTGTTATATTTTTCAATCTGTTTGTTAACATTGCGATATCAACATAATCCTCCTCATTTGTAAATATAGAAACTAATACTTTATGTAATGATTTCTTAAATTTATTCATCGGAAAATTACGTAAGTCACATGGAATGCTATTCCATATTTTTGGGCCAGTTCTGGAAAAAGAATTATTCAGTTTATTTAAACATGAATGTTTCACATAGGAGTTGACGTTTGAAGAAAATCTGGTATTATAGTCATGTATGTCATGAGTATAAGTAAGGAGATTTGATATATGTAGGGGTGCCAAGTTATTATGTACATCATGCATCAGAATAGAGACAGATTTAAAGTATAACATCTCAACAGGTAGAATATTGGAAGAAGAAAAGAAAGGAATTGCATGGGATGTATAATCCCCAAAGTAGATTAACCGAAGAACACGTTTTTGAAGCTTTAAAATTTTATCAAGATGAACTTTGGCAGCCTGACCCCATACTGCTATGCCATATGAAACATGAGGAAGAATAAGAGATTTATAAATGTTTATTAAAGTATTTCTAGGTACAAAATGCCTTAATTTGGAGATAATGCCCACTGTCTTACTCATTTTTGAAGCAACGTGACTAATATGGTATTTCCATGTAAGATTGCTGTCAATAAGCAGACCCAAGTATTTGACATAATGTTTACGTTCCAAAGAAATGAAAGAGTTTGAATCGTTGTCAAATATCTTCAAATCTACCTCATAATTTATCTTCTTTTGATAAGGATGAAAGATCACAAAATGCATCTTTTTTATATTTAAAGATAGTTTATTTGCAGTTAACCAGTTACACACTTTAAGTAGTTCCGCATTAAGTATAGATTCCAATATTTTTAGATCTTTATCAGCGTACATCAAATTCGTATCATCCGCAAATAGGTAAAATTGTAGTTTGTTAGATGAATTATAGATATCATTAACATAAATAAGGAAAAGCAAAGGTCCTAAAACAGATCCCTGAGGTACACCTATTGTAGTTAATTCTTTGTCGGATACTTTGTCACCAACTTGTGTTGTTTGTGTACGACTCGATAAATATGAGCGAAACCAATCATTAACAACCCCACAGACTCCGTAATGATGTAACTTTTTCAAAAGTATAGAATAATCTACAGTGTCAAATGCTTTCTGTAAATCAATAAATATACCACAAGAGTATACTTTTTTTGGTCCATATTCAGTTGTATTTGGTTTACTATATCAATTACAGCATGTTGAGTTGATCGTTTTTCACGAAATCCATATTGTTTCTTGTACAACAGTTTATTTTTTTCCAGAAAGCATTTTAATCGATTATACATTATCTTCTCAAAAATTCTATTAAAGATTGACAGAAGCGATATTGGTCTATAATTAGAAGGATCAGTTTCATCCATACTTTTGAAAATAGGAATTATTTTTGCATGTTTGAGTTTATCTGGAAATATAGCAGTTTCAACTGAATTATTAATTATTTCTGCTAGAGGTTTACTTTGTATATAACAAGCAGATTTCAAAATGCGGACAGGGCAAGAATACAAGCCATATGCTTTCCCCATTGGAATTTTCAATATCTCTAATTCAATTTCTACATGAGAAACTGGGTTAAAAGCAAAGGAGCATGGATTGTTAATTCTTGGCAAATAATCAGCAAACAATGCAGATGAGTTTTTCATTCTAGATGCTAATTTTTGTCCTACCGTTGAGAAATGTTTATTTAGTATATTTGCAATTTCATTTGCATTTGAAGTTATAGTATTGTCCATTGGATGTTTTAGGGAAGTTATAGACCTAATATTTTTGCTTTTATGATTGATAAGATTATTAATACCTTCCCAAGTTTTCTTAATATTTAAAAAATTATCTTCAAAGTATTTGTGATAGTAGGCTTTCTTACTTATACGAGTTAATGTTAATATCTTATTTCTATAGAATTTATATTTCTCCGAATTACCTGAATAAAATAGCGAATTTTTAATGGTAATTGATTTTCTTATACCTTTTGTTCTCCACGGTTCACAGTATAGTTTAGCTTTGCATTTGGAGACAGGTACTAAAGGTGCATGTTTATAAGATTTACTTGAATTATTACAACTTGACACGACAGTAATGAGATCTAACCCCGAAAGTTCGGCAATAAAGTTAGCTTCCGAGAACTTTGAATAATCTCTTGTTAAAATTTTTGTGACCATGACTATACTGTACACTCCTATTATTTAGAGTGACAATACAAGTGAATTGTGTTGTCTATAAATTACACCGCAAATAATATTAGCACTTGTTGGTTGAATGATTTCAATCCAAAGTGCCTCAAAGGCTTCATTAGCACATTTATCTATTATTTTATATTTTAAAGCATCATTAATGTACATTCCAACTCCACCGGCAGCCAATGGCGTCGGCACAAACTCAAAATTATAACCTGGCAACAAAGGATTAAAATCGCAATTTTCGCCTTTAATTCTAGTTTCAGATATTCCAATCATACTAAAATTATAATTGAGTTCATTCGAAAGATGTGTTTGCAAATTTTCCAGATTTTTCTTTAGACTTCTAACATTGTTGTGAAGTACTGCAAATTGCTTATTTAATTCCAGTCGATTATTAATTTTATCCTTTAGAATACTGAAACTATGAGGAGAATAATAATTGCAGCGAACAGAGCGACAAAAAGGCTCCATAGCAGAATTTCTGTCTGGAGCTCCAGTATTTAGACTGAGAAGATCAAAATCATGAATACTAGTTAAACGTTCCAGATGATTTTTCAAGGGTAAAGAGTCTGTCAAGTTTGAATTGACCAGACTATGAAATTGAGAGGAGTTAACACCACAAAATAGTAATTCCCATAGGGAGTTGTTATTCACAATTATATTGACATTAGAATTAGCCTGCATAGCTATTATTAGGTAATGATAACATTTTACTTAGCTGGCGATATTATATTTAACTGGTTGCAATGGCTATCTTTGTCAAGTCACTACACGTTGGTGTATTCTGATTGGATTTAAGTTTTCAGTCTTTCGTAGATAGATCCGTGTTTTGTCCAACAGAATCTATAATTGTCATCTTTAAATTTCTTGGCTTCTGCTAATAACTTTTGCAGACGTGGGGTTAAATGGTCATATATTCCCGCATGCGACAAGTTTGATTCAGGAAGTAGACCAAGACGGCTTGGGCATATCCCTCCTCACTGCCATAAATTGCTCTCGAGCAAGACGCCGTGTGTAAACTTGCAAATAATCGGCTTTGGCTGATTATCATTCATCTTCCTTGTAGGCACACGGTGAGCAATGCCCATTTCGTGAAAGATTTTTATACAAAGATCACTTTTATCTCTCGCAGATTCTTTTTGTTTAAGATGTGGTATTCCAACGACTTTCACATTGTACGAATAAGAATATTCTTGTGCTTCATCAATCGAGTTTGATACAGGTTCAACCTTGTCAGCTATTTCAGCAAGTCGAGGTTCTAGATGCGAGATTTGTTGTTTAGCTGTTTTGCTGAAGCAATTTAGATCGTCATATTCATTTCCAAAATAGTCCAAGCTTTTCTGAGTTTCTACGCTTGGAGTCTGGAATATCTGAGCATCATGGCTATTTCCTTTACTGGCGACGGAATCTTGAAATTTTCTAAATTCGTCTCGTAGAGTATCGATTTCATTCTTCAAATCATCATTTTGTTTGCGTAAGCTTTTAATAGTATCTTTAGTCTGAGACATGATTTTAAAACAAATTTCAAGCTCAAAATTGAGGAGCTCGAAAACACACGTCCACTCTCAATGAGTGAGACGTGAAGTCAGTGGATAGAAATGTTAGTTTTGAGGAGTTCATTATTTTATGTTTCCAGAATTCGATGTATTTTTTTTTCATTTTGTTTACAACTGTCGTAGTGTCATAGTTTAAGATAGCTAGTTCAATATTTGATTCGTTTGGGTAGTAAGGGATTCAGTAGATTAACTGCTTTTGAGTAATATGATTCTTTATGGTTCGTATTTTGTATTGTATTGTATTTAATTTCTTTAGAGACGCTATCCTCATCAGCTATATGGCTGGTTTTCATAAGGGGCATCTATTTAGCTATTTACAAGTATATAAAAATGAAGAAAAAAACTAATTAACCCACACACCCAAAAAGAATATTACCCAGAACATAATGTGTAGTTACAGATGGAATAACAATTAAAAATAAGATTCAAATAAGTCTTTTGAAACAATAAATCGAATGAGTACAGCTCCACTATACCTAAAGCTTCTTTTAAGAAATTCTTTCTTAAGTTTTGGAAGTGAGAGATCTGTATCATAATTTCCGAGATGATAGTCATTATCATTATTGCTTCGTGCAGAAAAGAATTCTCGAAGACAGGGGGCAGTACCGTTATTAAGAATGTTGTATACCAGAACCACTTTATTAAATCTAAATCTGTTTTCAAGATTTTTCCAGTTAAGCCGTTCAAGGAGCTCAGAGGAGTTGGTATCATAACTTACTCCCGTCAACACCCTTGCAGCTCTATTTTGGAATCTCTGTAGTTTTTCTTTTAGTACAATTCTGCAATTATCCCACAAAGGGGAGCAATAATCAAAGTATGGCAGAATTAATGCCTTATAGATGATGTGCAGGGTTTCATTGGGGACAAATGGTTTTGTTTATTTTAAAACTCCTATCCCTGCACCAACCTTTTTACAGATTGCATTGATGTGAACTTCCCAACTAAGGTGAACATCCAACTCAACTCCTAAACATTTAAAAGATCTGTACCATTTTAATGGTTTATTCTTAAAGGTCACTAATTTATCTCCAATTTTATTTTTGATATTGTACCGGGAGCCTATGAACATTAGCTTAGTTTTAGTAGTATGGTGTTGCAGTTTGTTATCTGAGAGCCATCTACCAACATTTAATAGTTCCACCAGTTCATCATAATTATCAGACGAGGCAAATATCTGCGTATCATCAGCATATAAACCCGGAGTTGTAAATTTTAAATATTGCGACAAATCATTAATATATAATAAAACATCAAGGGACCGAGAATGGACCCCTGCGGCACACCACTTTCTATGGATTTCCAAGAGGATATATGGTCATTTACACAGCAAACTTGCTGACGATCAGTCAAGTAAGAGGTAAACCAATTCAATTCATTTTCACGAATACCAAACTGGTCTTTCATTTTTGACATTAAAATTTGATGGTTAATTGAATCAAATGCTTTCTTTGATATCCAGAGAAACAAGACCAGTTATTTTACCCTCATCCATATTTTTTAGCCATTCATCGCACATCTGGAGAAGTAAGGTTAGAGATGAATGTTTAGGTCGAAATCCAGATTGAAACTTTGAAATTAGTGAGTTTGCAGATAAATAACTATATAGTTGCTGAAAAATTTCTTTTTCAAAGATTTTACGTACAACTGGGAGAATAGAAAGTGGACGGTAATTCTCACATTTGCTTCTATCCTCAGATTTATAAATTGGTTGCACACATGCTAATTTCCAGTCATTGACAAATATGCCAGTATGTAGTGATTGGTTAAAGATTGTTGTCAGAGATGGTGCAATTATACCTACAGATAATTTAATAACTTTAGCTGGAATTTTGTCTACGCCAGTAGCTTTGGACGTTACTAGTTGTTTTAAGTTGTTTAGAACTTGATGAACACTTATATCAGAAAAACAAAAAGTTGTGTCACACTCTAAATCACCACGATTTGTCACACCAGCAGAGGTATGATGATTTTCTTCCACCCCAAGTGCAAGCGAAGGACCAATATTAACAAAATAATCTTTTAATTTGTTTGCAATCGGGTTTCTATCTGTAATAACTACACTACTATCAGTCCCAATTTCATTGATAATGGTTGATTTTGAATTTTTCCCAAGTAGGTTATTAATCAAGGACAGTGAACTCTAATAAGACTGGAACGATAGCTCAGGTAAACATGCCCATACTTGCCTGAAGCCAACCATGCAAGGAAATTGCACTTTTAAAAGGACTAAGGGAGCATTCATTTTTTAGCTGGGGGGGGTGGGCCGGAGGAACTGATGTCTAATTCCATGCTAAAACTTGGAACCCCCAAGACAAAAGTTGATAAAAAATTATGACCCCCTATTTTTTTTACTGAAAATTTTTTTGACCCCTCATCTTAACTATTAATAATCCACACAGTGTCGTTTCTGTGGCGTTTCAGGGCCATAGGAAGCTTTTTTTTATTGGGGGGCTGAAAGCGAGGGCCAAAGGCCCGAGGAAATTTTTAAATCTAGAGTCTCTGAAATGCCATTTCCTGGACTTTGGGGAAGATTTGACCGAATTCTGATGGTCAGAAAACAACGTTTTAATATGTCGAAATTGACAATTTGGTAGTACTAAATGGGCGAACACATATTTAATTAACTATATATTGGATAACTAGGATAAGTTGCAGGAAACTGTGGGTACAATCTTCATTCTTTGCAGTTTGTCATGTAGCCGCTTAAAATTAATAAAGCTTAAAATTGATAAAGGTCATGAAATGCATGCAGACCTTGAAACCATGCATGATTTTGAAATCATGCTACGGTCCTGCGTTTTCTTTCATTCATGTTTTCACACAAAAACGGATAAAAACGAGGTCAATTGACGAAAGTCATGGAAATTTTTTCCTTTGGACTGTGTGAACAGAGCGTCAAACGAATTTTGCTTCTTTGTTAAAGATGACGAGATAGTTGATAGTTTCTAGACCTTTTTACCATTCTTCATCCAAATATTTCCAAATTCTATAAAATTATATTGGTGACTTTTTCACTGATTATTTTTATGACCCCCTCCATTTATACCAAAACTATAAAAAGACCCACCCCTTTGAAGCATGTCAAAATTGGCTGATCCACCCCCAAATTCCTCCGGCCCACCCCCCAGCTAAAAAATGAATGCTCCCTAAGGAGAGTTTTGAGGAGTGGGAAATTCAGTCAAAGTTTTACATTTTTTATGAAAATGAGCAAGAAAAGTCGTTTTTCATCAAAAGACTTCAATTTTAAAAACCCAAATACGATTTATTTGATAGTTAGAACTGCTTTGCATCTCACAACAGCGAAAGGTTTGAGGGGTATCAGGTTTGTTTTCATAAAAACGACACAATTTGAACGTGCCGAAGTGAACTTTGCTCTTTAACTAAAAACAAATACTTTGAAACATAAATCTATGGACCAATACCTTTTTTGTATTAAAGTCTAGGTATAGTTGTTTATTTTGAGTGCTTTTTGACATCTCGAAAACATAGAAACCCCCGTGATTTGTGATTTGGCGCCCAGGAGAAGTTCGCGCGCTGTGACTTTCAAAAAAGAACTGGGGAGAGTTAAATTTTCTCGTAATTTTGTTTTTTTAGCAAAAATACGCCGAAATATTAGGTTTTTCGTCCTAAGATTTCAATTTCAAAGATTAAACTTGGTTTTCTGGATAGTTCTAAGTATTCAACATCCACTAACAGCAAAATCTCGAAGGGAACCATTTTTGTATTCAAGAAAATAACAAAATATTTTCTGTGCCGAACAAAATACGACTTTCAGGTACACAAAAAATAACGTTAAGTCTTTTCTACGGCTTCCAAACATGATTTGTGCAATAGTCCAAGTATCGTAGATATTTTTAAGTCTTTCATCTATGTTCTAGCATAGCTAGAAAGGCAGAAATCCGAGGGTTTTTTTTGTATTTTCGCCGCCGTACCTCCAATGGCGGCTTTCAATTTGGCTTCAAAGATGGCGGCCGAGTTATTGTTCCAGTCTTATTAGAGTTCACTGATCAAGGACCAACTTTTTTTACGTTCTTATGCTGAAGACACTCATATATTTTAGTATTGAAATAGTTAGCTTTAAGACTTTTAATTTCAGCATTAATTTTATTTCGAATGGTTTTAAATTTTTCCCAATGCATCTCAGAATTTGTTTAAACATCATTTTATGAAAATTTCGTTGCCTCAGTTGCTTAATTGAGGCATTTAGCCATGGAATTCTTTTAGTTTTAATATACTTCCTCAGAATTGGCGCGTGTCTATCAAGTACTTCTATAAAGGACCTTCCAGACTTTAAGACTCTATAAAGAAGGACCTTCCAGACTTCGGGTTATTAAATTGATTGACATAATCCCAGGGGATCCTACACAAATCGTGCAAAAATAACCTTTCATTAAAGATCTTTGGATATGATCTTGGGATATGTTTAAGCTTTGTTTCGTGATTGAGTCATCGGGTAGCTGGTAGATATGTTTAAAATAATTCATTATGTTTTTCTTGATTGTTAAGAGGAGAGGGAATTTACCAAGTTCTCCCCTGCAAGCCACATTTGTTGCTTTTCTGTTTACACCCAAATGTAACTTGCAGAATATTAGATTAACTTTTTCGATTTCTGAGTTTTCCCATTTATTATAGTCATTTTTTTTGTAAGCACCCCAAATTTCCGAGTTGTACAGTAATATGGGGGAGATGATCGAGTCAAAAATCTTCATTGCAAGGTTTGAACTATAAGAAAATGCCTCTTACCAGCTTCTAACATAAACTTGCCATCAAGTTGTACAAAATGATGTCATGGCCAGCCGTCTATTAGAAAAATCTATGTAAGAAAAATATGTAAATAAAAATATTTGTCGGTCAAAACACCTGATACCATTCATAGATTTGACTAGAAATAAAATTTTGTATCCCTACTGCAGATACAATGCAAACATGATTTATATACTCAAGTATACACTTTAGTAGATCACTAGCAATCTATGTGATTTACAAACAGATTAAGATATAAACTGTTAGTTAATTATTAATATGTCTTTTAATTCCATTAAGGAAATGCCAATCACTGTGAACCAGATCATAATAGAACCATGCCAATGCTTTGGTTTTTTGTTATCATAGATAGAGTTTATGTGAGCGGTACAATAATTCTGGAAAACGGAGGCGACAGGAACTGAAGAAAAAACACCCCAATGAACCAAATTTTGTGCACCAAACAAATTTTGAACCAAATTAAAGAAACATCAAAATTAAGAATTGTCTTTGATGGTTCTGCTTAGCCTTCTGAGGACGATTTCTCTATGAATGACTGCTTGGAGAAGGGCCCAACTCTGTGTGTTTACTGTTTGACATTATTGTGCGATTTTGGGAATACCCTATTGGATTAACAGTCAACATAGAGAAAGCTGTTCACCAAATTCAGACTCCTCCACAAGATTGAGAAATGATCAAACTCTTATGGTTTGATGATATCACTAAGGAAAACCCTGAAATAAAGCTCTACCAATTTCATCGCCTTTTGGATTGAAACCTAGTCCAGCCATTTTATCCAATACAGTGGACACCGCTTGGCATCACACACTGAATCCAACCCCGACATTGTTAATTTACTAAAGTAACTTGTTATATGTTGATGACTTTGCTGGGGGTGCGTCTACCGATTCACAGGCATTTGAAATGTACGAGTCTTCAAAGGATTTCATTAGCAATGGGGGTTTCACTCTGCGAAAGTGGAACACTAATTCAAAAGAACTTTGAGAAAAGATAGAATCCGAGAAAACTGCTTCCACCTCCGAGGGTACAGAATCGTTAGAAGCAGCTGCACTGATAAAGCAAACAAATTGTAACTATCCTATCAGTGTACAGAAAACATTAGTTCGCAATCAACCAATCTCAAGCCAGAAATACCGATATCTGATAAATGTTGTCACACGAAGATCCTTGGATTAAATTGGAATGTTCATACAGACGAACTGCAATGGAATACAACTAAGTTACTTGCCTATACTAAGTCCCTTCCCACAACAAAGCATTCAGTCCTAAAGTTATTAGCAAAAGTATTTGACCCATTGGGACTGCTTTCACCATTCACAATTAATATGAAGATATTGTTTCGGATCCTTTGCAATAATAATATTGATTGGGATGACCTGTTAGGCAGCAAAATTTTGACACAATGGGCAGGAATATTGAACAATCTTAGTTTGTTAATGGAGGTGAAAGTTCCTTGTTGTTACTTTCATTTTGCAGGGAAAACTCTACATCACAAGATTATCCATGGCTTTTCAGACGCATCTAAAAAGGTGTATGCTGCTGTTGTTTATCTTAAAACTGAACATGGAAATGGAAATATCGACATCAAGCTTATCGCAGCTAAAACACAAGTTGCTCCACTAAGTAAACAATCCATGATTCGCTTGGAACTTCTTGGCACACATACCTTGGCACGACTGGTCAAGTCAATATTACAAGCTTTTCAATCCATGAAAATTGACAACATTTTCTTATGAACTGATTCCTTTACAACCTTATGTTGGATAAAAAACAACAAGAATTGGAAGCAATATATCCAAAATTGAGTCCAGGAAATAAGAACTGACCAATAAAGAGAATTGGAAACATTGTCCTGGTCATTTGAATCCAGCTGACATGCTGTCGTGTGGATCTTCCGGACATGATTTTGTGAGTAACAACAAGTGGTGGAATGGTCCTGATTTCCTCCAACTACCCAAGGACCAATGGCCAACTGATCCTCAATCGACCCAATATGATGAATAGTGAGACTATCAAGCAACCTCCCTTAAATTAAGGTCCGATTCCATGACGAGCAAAATGCGAAAAATTTTGTGCAAAAAGGTTGAACACATGCGCAACATGATTTTTGAATGTTTCTCTGCGAAATATTTCTCTTCTACTCCGTTGTGAAATGGAAATAGCGAAGCCAATCAAATGCTTGTGTTTTCGATGCAGTGGCACCGTGGGTCCCATGTTGTGGGGGTGGGGGGTGGTCAAGGACAGTACTTTTCTGACAAAAAAATTTTCCAGACATTTTAAATCTTCCCCCCACCCACCAATCAACAACTTTTTTGGTAAAAAAAATTTCCGGGAAATAACATTACAATTGCTTTCGTAGCACTTTTCCCGATTTCCGTAGCACTTATTCTGCCATGCTTCACCACATAGATTCCAACAACATTGACCATTTTCCGACAGGTCTCAACAATAGGGGGGCCACGGCACCACTGTTTGGATGACAAAATAGTGAAACCAATCAAATGCTTGTGTTTTGGCGAATTTTTCTCTACTGTGGAAATCACTATGAGAGAAAATTTTTGCACAAGTGTGTTTTCACACAGAATTTTTCACACTCGTCATGGAGTTAGGCCTTTAGTTATGCTGTTCTTCAAATCGCTATAAAACAGTCACTTTTGCTCAAAACCATGACAAACTACAGGGTGTATAAAAAAAAACTGAACAGATTTCAAATTGCTCTCAATTTCGCAAAACACCTATTTGTATCTGTTTTTTATATATATAGCTTCTTTGGGTACTTATAATGTAAAATAATGAAAAAAAATTCTTGAACTCAAATTTTGTGAACCAGGGGGGCGGTGTCTTTTCCAACAAACTAAAAATGGCTCGCGCACAAAATTTAAAAGCTGTAATAATATTTTGAGTTGATAGATTGAAAATTTGTCGGGTTTTTAATTACTGTACAAAATTTCAGACAATTTGGTTTAGTTTAAGCCCTTTAACTATTCATTTTGTTCTAAAAAGTCAGCCTTTCGCATGCTTAATTAATGCCTTTACCTAAGTTGCATATTGCTGACATATGCAAATTAGGCAAATGCATTAATTAACCATGCAAATAGCTGATTTTTCGGGAAAATTGTAACTTTGCGTGAATAGTTAAGGGGGCTTAAACTAAACCAAATTGTCTGAAATTTTGTACAGTAATTAAAATCCCGACAAATTTTCCATTTGTTAACTCAAAATATGATTGCAGCTTTTAAATTTTGTGCGCGAGCCATTTTTAGTTTGTTGGAAAAGACACCCCCCCCCCTGGTTCACAAAATATGAGTTCGAAATTTGAGTCTTATTTTACATTATAAGTACCCAAAGAAGCTATATATATAAAAAACAGATACAAATAGCTGTTTTGTGAAATTGAGAGCAATTTTAAATCTGTTCAGTTTTTTTATACACCCTGTATATATCATTGAGAAGCTTATAAATCATAGAAAATGAATATCTAATTTATAAATTCAATTTATACAATGTAACCCGACACCATCCACCACATGCTGGGAGTAAGCAAGTCGCCTTCAAGAAAAGAAATCTCTTGACCTATTGCACCGGGATAAGCATAGAACTTTTCAATTGCACAAATACTTTTGACAAAATGACTGTTTCATTCTTCATCCCTAAAATGCTAACATGTTCCTTGCCATAACTTTCTAAAAACTTATCCATAGGAAAAGTTCTATGCTCATCCCAGGTATCACTCATAGTACGAAGCTCTGTGAAAAGTTTATGCAAATCGGATGAATACATAAGAAGTTATCTTTTCTTAACTGCAAAAAAGTCCGTTTTCAGCATATCGGCTTTAAAAACAATAAACATTTCAAACAATGAATTATGGACAGTTTTGCCTTATAGATGTGTCACTATACTTCCTTTTATAAGTACAAATGGGTTTATCTCTAAAATCCCCCAGCTTCATATGTCACCCCTTCAGCTTCACACAGTGCTTCCTCTCTCCTTGTCCGAAGGAGTGCCTGATTTTTGGTAGCGTTTCTTGTTTTTCTTGGTTGCTTGGCAATCTGCTTCAGCTTCTAGGGCTCATATTTAAATGTTTTCAACCTGCACATGATATGCAGATTTTGCTAGGCAAGGCATGTTCATTATGCTACAGAAAGTTACTAATCCTTCATATCCAGTTCCAGTCTCTATCCAATGGTAAACTGCTCTTCGGTTGATGTCATATGATGACCCCGCACTTGTCACACTGTGCAATGTTGGCACTATAACAGTGATGATGTCACACAAACTGCAACCAAGTGAAAGTTGACTCATCAATCCTGATCTTCTTGATGAAACTTCTTTTACAGTTATGTTACCGAGAATATTGACATAAATGTTTGTTAGTTCAAACTGTTAGAAAACCCTTATAGTCTAAAACAAGTATTAACAAACAGGCAACCATTGCAACTATTCTATTTCTATTCTAATAAGTATATACCATTCAACAAAACATATTCCAAAAGTGAAGCTTGGATACAGTCTTACTGTATACTTGTCCTTACATATCAGGAAAGCAAAAAAATCCATTGTATGACAAAGTGTTTCATACACATAGTAAAATATCAAAACAAAATTTACCTTCTTCACACACATGCAATGTGGATACAGGATACAGCTGATGAAAACTCCTTCATGTTCATAAGGTGATATCCATGTTCGCTGAAGTCTTGTTGCTCACCAGAAACAAGATTGGAGTTGTGCGATTCATCCAATTTCATTTTTTTGCTCAAAGCTTCATAAACACATGTGGTCTCTTTCACACATGAATCTTCCCTTGATGAGTCGTCATTTACCAGCTCTGCCCTGTGTATTTTGTTGTCAATTTGAACTTCTTTGCTTTGATCTTGCTTAGAAGAGTACCTCTGAGTACCAGAGAACGTTTTACCTTTGCACCTATAACAACTTCGTTTCATTTCTCCAACCATGATAAACACAGAATTCAAAAGTCAACTTCGTATGCCAAGGCAAAAATTGTGCCAGGCAATGCAATACTCAGCGGAAATTAAATATACATTGTAGTACTTCATGTTAGTAACATACAAAGTCGTTTCCCGGGGTTTCGAGACAAATGCGGTGTGGTAAACAACAAAAAACCAACAGTCTGGTAACCATGGCAACCACACTAAAATTTCTACCAATGATTTTCAAACGTGAAATAAACCCTGAAATACTTTAGAAAAAGCCATCAAACGTTTATAATTGCTTAAACAAATAGTCAAAGAGTAAGAATATCAGGGTGAAAAAATTCAATTTTTTTTTAAATTTTGGGTGAACCCCCCCCTTAACAAGCCATTCAAAATGTACCGATGCCTGTATCCATTTAGAAGTAAATGGACTGGTTCGGTACTTGATGATGCATATGCTTTTGCAAATTCTGCTATCAATGACAAATTAAAAAGGGGGAGATTGCCACAAACCTTCAATTGTCTGCTTCCTGGTTTTGAAGCTGTTCCAAATTATGTGATAGGAGACCCAGCATACCCACTGACCCCATTTTGCATGAAAAAATTTCAGACGTGCAACGAATGAACAAGTTGTTTACAATAACATGCTAAGGTCTGCCAGAAATCAAGTCAATGTTCTTTCAGTCCCCTGAAAGCTTGATGGGTGAGTGAAGTGACATCACCTTTAAAAATGTTCCTGCAGTTATCTACAGTTGCTTTGTCCTCCATAACTATTGTGAGCATATGCAACACTGTCTCGATGAACAGGATGCACAGACTCGGAGACATACAAATGAAGAAAACATGCCAAATGTTCCCAATCCTGTATATTCATGTACTAGCAGAGTATGCCAAACAAAACGTACCTGATACCGACTAAAACGTACATGGTTGAAGATGTTCTTACATCTTTGTTACAACTCAATGTGTTGACCAGTGGTTTGCTGGGAAGAAAAGTTGTTGAAATGTACTTGTGAACAATTTTTGAACAATATTTTAAAAATATTCATCGAATGGGTTTATGCACCAGGAATTGCAAGGGTGCTTGGTCGTAGAGGGGTCGTAGTAGAGGATGTGCATTACTTTACTTCATGGGATGTAAAATTTGTTTCAATTCATGACCTAATTGACTCCTTAGTACATGACTTACAAAGCCATTTTATTTTTTTATTTTTAAACACCCCTGCAGGTATATCATCACAATCTTGGTGAAACTACTTGCTGCACCGGCTGCATTCTGTCATTAATTGGTTTTGCTTCATATGGACGACAACTGCAGAAAACCCTGATTTGTAATTTAATGGGATGGCCCGGGATGCTGCATCTCGATGATGCAAATGGTGTAATGATGCTTGTGATGTTATGCTGAGTGTATATCCACACTGGGAAAGCTTGAAAAATATGCCTGGCCATGGTGGGAATTGAACCCACGACCTTTGGAATACTAGCCCAATGCTCTGCCAACTGATGCTTGTGATGTTACTCTAAGTGTATATTCACACCGGGCAAGCTTGAAAAATATGCCTGGCCACATTGGGATACTAGCCCAATCCTTTGGAATACTAGCCCAGCGCATATTTTTCAAGCTTGCCCGGTGTGGATATACACTCAGGTGAATATGATGCTTGTACACTACACCAACACAGAAAAAAAATCATGATTATTAGATTACATAGATATCGAAGGAACTAGACTCGGTTCCGAAATATCACATACTCTAACAGACCTCACCGCGTAGCTCAGTTGGCAGAGCATTCTGGAAGGAGGACGTTGCAAATTACACTCGGGTCTGTCCCAGGGAAGTCATGGGCAATCTTTTCACAATCATCATTAAAGCTCCCGAAAAAATATTGAAAGATATATCTCTCTTCTTCAGCTCTGGTTCACTTGTTGATTTTCCTGTGGTTTGGAGTTCATGGTAACAGCTAATTTCCTCTCCAGTTAGAATTTTTTCAAATTCAAATTGTAGGAAATCTAAAGCTTTCTCAATAATCGAGTTGCATTCATATAGTGCTTTTTTGAATGTTCAGCAGATGGTGTATCAGTTATAGTTATAGTTTTAGTTAATGATTTAGATGTAGCTGTAGACGATGGTGGCTTTGGTAACTAGTAACAATTCCAGTTACAAGTGGATCTACTGGTATAGCTGCAGGTGATGTTTGGTTCTGGGTACTACAAGCAATTCCAGTCGCAGGAGGATCTATTTGTGTAGCTGCAGGTGATGACAGTGTTGGGTTAATGTGTACTAGTAGCAATTCCAGTCACAGGGGGATCTACTGGTGTAAATAAAGGCAATGGTGGTGTTGGGTTTTATAGTAGCTGCCTTTGGTGCAGTAGGTTTATTTCTGCTGTTTGAAGGTTCTGCTATCACTGTTGTTTTAGGGTTTCGTTTGGATTGAGAGGAAGATTATTCACTGTAAATTTTAAGCTGTTTAAGAGGTAATTGGATAAGTGGAGAAAATAGATCTTCAAAACACACCATGTGACTACTATACATTGTAACATTAACATCTTTATATATTTGATGTTTCATGTGTCATTCAGTAATGTTTCACATTAATCATATTGGAGGAATGAATTTCAAGTTCATATTGTCTGAAGAGAGAACATAGTAATGGTAGGATCCAAAAACATGATTCTATACATATCATATAGAAATTCCATTTATTTCTGCTGTTTGAAGGTTCTGCTATCACTGTTGTTTTAGGGTTTCGTTTGGATTGAGAGGAAGATTCACTGTAAATTTTAAGCTGTTTAAGAGGTAATTGCCTCTTCAGTTGCATGTCATTTGTGAGGTCTTTCAGGTAACAGCTGCCTTTTTTGCTGTTGACATTCACTGCCATGTTAGGGGCTAAGCCAGTGATCTTGCATCTTGTAACCCTTCTTAGTTTTTTGCAGGTGATGTTTGGTTCTGGGTACTACAAGCAATTCCAGTTGCAGGAGGATCTATTTGTGTAGCTGCAGGTGATGACGGTGTTGGGTTAATGTGTACTAGTAGCAATTCCAGTTGCAGGGGGATCTACTTGTGTAAATAAAGGTGATGGTGGTGTTGGGTTGATAGTAGCTGCCAGTGATCTTACATCTTGTAACCCTTCTTAGTTTTTTGCAGCATATTTCGTCTTAAGACAAGGTCACCGTCCGTGATTTTGATTTCCGATATCCCTTTGCATTTTAAATATTGCAGCTTTTGTTTCTCTTGTATCTTCTCGATGTTGCTCATTGTTTTCAGGAATATTTCTTGTTGAATCTTAACCATTTCTGCAATGTGGTCAAGAACCGTTTGTGGGGATTGTGTTCTTATCCAAGGTTTCCAAACTTGGAATGGTAGCTGGGCTTGTCTTCCATACATGAAGTAGAAAGGGCTGAATTCTGTTGTAGTACTTCTGTTCGTATTTATAGAGAACACAACTGATTGCAATATGTCATCCCAGTTTTCAGTTTTGCTGCTCATCAGCTTCCTTAGTCTTCTATATTTAAATATAAGCAAGGACTATTTCATCATGTTACTTCACCTACTGTGTGTTTATAAGGAAAACCAAATTGAAATATTTTCCTTTTTTAATCTAGGGAAAAGCAGCAGTTGCATAAGCCGTGTCCAGGGAATGAATATAGTGGGAATCGTAAATGGATTGTAGTGAGTAGGGGTGCACCGGATTTGGGATAAGTGGAGAAAAAAGATCTTCAAAACACACCATGTGACTACCATACATTGTAACATCAACATCTTTATATATTTGATGTTTCATGTGTCACTCAGTAATGTTTCACATTAATCATATTGGAGGAATGAATTTCAAGTTCATATTGTCTGAAGAAAGAACATAGTAATGGTAGGATCCAAAAACATGATTCTATACATATCATATAGAAATTCCACAAATTATTGGCAGACAAGCTGATGTAAAAGTAAAAAGTTTAGTGACCTGGAAATCCAGCCGGGTTTTAGAAAAAAATCTGGCCGGATGCCAAAAAAATTCTCAAATACAGCCGGATTTGAAATCCAGGACATCAGATTTGAAATCCAGGGTCAGATGAAAATTTCATTCTTGCTGTTTAAGTGTTTGATTTGTCCGTTCATCCAGACTGTTTGATTGAGGAAGGTGTGCAGACATTCTATGTCAAACATTGAACTTAGCAAATAAAAGATCTGATACCCTATGAAAATGTAAAATTGAAAATTTATGTAGGGTGGAGTGAAAAATGTATGTGACAGTTTCAGAACTAAACATGGTAATATTGTATTTCTATTTTTTATTCACATTAAGTGTTATTTACTGTACCTTGTAAACAAATCCTCTTCCTTGGTCAGATATTACATGTGCTGTGCCCCATGGTGACAATACATACTGTAAAGGCCTTTTATTGGGTATGGGAACTGCTTCAACATATTTCGTAAAATAATCTGTTTGGGTAAGGATGTATCTATTTCCATTCTTTGTTTCTTTGTGCGCATCGACTAAATCGATTCCAACCAAATACCATACTTTGTCAATAACCTTTACAGAATGCAAAACATCAAGACATTTCTTTATCAGCAGCATTTCTTTGACATCGGTCACATTTCTTAATCTGTAAGAAATATCATGTAACAATATTTTTGTGGCAGTTCAGACTTCTGATTTAATTAATAGCTTATTTATGAAGCTATTATATGCAAATTGCTTGAGTAGTTCTGGAGTTTCAATAGTTTTCAACACTTTGGTAGTTCAAAACCTACAACATTTGAAGGCCTGTCTAAGTTAGGCTAAATTAAATGGTCAAACTAAATTGGTACGGGTTCTGTCATTTTTCAGGGATTTTAAAATTGTTAGGGAAGCCTCATATATGGTGGTGGTGATCGATTTGCAGCTGTGACGTTTCTCTGTAAAACATAGAAAAATTCGATAGTTTTTTCAGAATGAAAACAACTTGATACAAACATGAAAACATAAACATAAATATAAAAATGAAAACAACTTGATACAAACAGCAGTCTACACATTCGTAACATCATACCTGTTCTATACATTTATATTGTTACGTATTCCTTGCATTGAAAACATTTAAATTTCAGTCAACAAAAATGCGCTAAAATTGTCAATATTTCATGCATCTAAACCATAGTCGAATGACTAGCATTGGATCGTGTGTGTGATCAGTTGTCCCGAAGACCAGTTAAATTCAATAGTAGAAAATTACCTTGTGTGCTATAAGAACAAAATATCGATAACTATGTGTGACGTTTTCAAGGGAGCTGTGGGGGGAGTGTCTCCAGAGAAATGTCCATATGACGTTTCTCATGGGCAAAATTGATATGCGAGGCTTCCCTGTATTTTCTGCAATTGCGTTTATGCGATTTTATACACAAATCATTTTGACTTATAGGCAACCCTGATGACATCATCAAGGGTACTGTAGAAGGTTTTTTGTAGCTTTCCATTTGCAAAAAAATCCTCATTGTCGTGCTTTTCCAGTGGGCTATTCAAACCATGGGGATGAGGATGGATATTAAAAATACACTCTATAATTAAAAATTGTGTAGTCCCGACCTGCGTGCTCGCCAAATGTCATCCCCTCTTATAACAATCCTCTTTCACTTCTTATCTTTTTTGTCAACACGATAAATCGTGTTTGTTACCCGATCATATTCGAATTTTTTTTTCATTCGTCTCAAGGTATACTTCTGTTTACTCGCCGCAACGCGATTTTTCCCTATTGAAGAAACATTTTCAGCTTGTCGTATTTTTGTTCATTCATAATCGCAAATTTGCATGTTGGTAGCATAGATATAGGAGGTAAAGATCGCCAACTCCTATTCTCCTATTCTGAAGACTAGAGACGAGACGTGACCAAAATTAAAAATCCAAGATGGCGAAACAAGCTGGCAAAAAACACAAGTGAGCTAGGAAAACTAAATAAATATGGGTATTTTCAAGCATTTATTGTGGAAAATCTACATGGAATTTTGCTACGATTTTGGTTTTATTTAAAAAAGATTATTTTTATTAATGTCATTCAAGGATTCAGTGTGTTTTTTTGCTTTTATATCTCGAATTATTCAGCTCAAATGTATCAAGTCATTCGACCACATGGACATTTATGCTGCCAAATCCAATGTTAATCATTATCAAAGAGGATTAGTTTGTTAATTTTTTCTCTCTGATGGCTTTTCATCTCAAACTATTTTCTCCGAATGGATCTTTCTGAAGCGGTAGACAAATATCTTGGCATAGAGGTCTGAAATGGAGTGGATTAGGAGGATTATGGAATATCAAATATGGACATTATATGGTCATCTCATAAATTTTGGTTACGAATATGGCATCCTCTGTAGTGCTGCTGCCTGCAAGCAAGTGAATGTAGATAGCTTGGTCCCCGGCAGAACTTGCTGTTTAATCACTTGGAGGAATTCTTTCTTCATTAAATGCCACTGATGGAGCCTTTCACAAAGGATTTTATCTGTGACTTGGACTATTTTCACAACTGATGGTGAAGGAACTATTAAAGTGCCATAACTCTTCAGGGAAATTAAGTAGTTGGAGCTGTTTGGGGATGTACTGGTGTAGGATGACTGATCTGGTAGTATATTTTGATCTTCAGCCACCAAGGCATCAACACATTCAACACATTTTATGGATGGAATAAATTGCTACACTATGAACCCTCTAATGTAACCAAACATTATACTGCAGATCTGTCAAGCAATTCCCACAATTCTCTTGTGAGGTTCAAGCTCTTTCTCCAGTTTGTCACAGTGTTCTGTTCATAATGCCGATTGACATTGTAATATTATGGGATTGTTATTTTGGACAGTGAATGCTGGATAATCCAAGTGGGGGCATATGTATACACAATTTAAGACCTAACCAGTAACGGTTGCAAAAAGTGCAACACTAGGTCCTCTGGCACGAATCTAACCTGTCGCATTAGGTCTTAAATTGTGTACATATATGCTTGCTTGGATTATCCACTAAACCCAGCATTCTAGTTCAATCAAGTGAAGTGCAAAACACATCTTTCAAGTTTACCTTATCAAAACCCACACACCTGAAAATCTATATATAACTGCACATGAACTTGTGGTTGCAGCTTGGCAACTGGCCTATGCAGCTTATGTACCTATCAATGTTAAGCCAGGGGGGGAAGGGGTTGGGATTTGACATTTTCCTAAAAAAAAATTGTCAAAATCCACACCCCAGGGACACCACCATTGGTCAAAAAATGATAATACTCTCTAGCTGAGGAAATCAATACTGGGTCAAAAAACACCAAGATGATATTGGGTCAAAAAACACCATTTGAAAGATCAAATATCCACACCCAGGGCCGCCGAGAGGGGGTCGAAGGAGGGGGCAAATTGCCCTGGGCCCCACCTTAATAGGGCCTCAACTTGAGAGCAAGAGCCTAAAATTGAGTAGGTTCTTTAAATTGGTCAGAGCATTTTTGAAATTGAGGGCCCCTTACAGTACCTCCACATGCAGTCTAGCTAAGGTCTAGTTGGGTCTAGCTTAAAAATATTGTCATGGGGCCCCCAGGGAAGATTTGCCCCAGGCCCCAGGTAGTTTCTCGGTGGCCCTGTCCACACCCCAGGGTGATCTTGCAACATCAAAATCCTCCCCGTCAATCTCCACCCCTTGCCCCCCCCCCATGCTTAACATTGATAGATGCATTAGTTGGTCAGAGTGCTACACTGGAATTGCAGGGCCATAGGTTCGATTCCTGGAAGAGGACCTAGTGTTCGCAACCATTCCTGGTTAGGTCTTAAATTGTGTATGCATATGCCCCCACTTGGATTATGCACTATTATGCCAAAAGGGTTAAATTGACAAGTTTTTGCATTTTTGATTTGCATGTGAAATGATCCGCCATGTAGCCTAGGTTGGCATATTTTCATATAAGGGTGCATTTTACAATATATTTGAATTTTGTAGCTGAAGTTGCTTATTTCATATTTTGTATGGTTCAAAAATTGTGAAATAAATACTCAGTTCATTGTCTATTTGTGTCAATTTTGGCAGCAATGCATGTAATGCAGATGCATGTAATGCTGTTGGAGTTGCTGGATTGTTTCCCAAAGTTTGCCAACAAGTAGATATTTTGCAGGTTTGTCTTGTGAGCCTTAAATTAACTCATTGAGCCCCAGTGCGCCCTACTCATCTTTTTTTTACCTGTCTATTAAAACGCCTGATGATTTTACTTGTCAATGGGGAAGCTTCGCAGCTTAATGGTTAATGAAAACATAAAGGTATATATATTATTGGATTGCACAAATCACATGAATGAAGTTGAATGAGTAAACCTTCATTTCATAAACATTCATGAACCTTCATATTTAAACTGCTTTATTTCAAGAGGTTGTACATGGCCTGAAGCTCTTTATAGACCTATATTTTCAGCACACATGTCTGTATAGTTGTTGGTATAGTTGTTGCCAGTGAATTTCTGTTGATATTGTGATTGGAAAATGTTTGG